TAAGAACAGAAATGTACTTCAGATTCTCCTGGCTATGAGTTGCTAACGCAGATGGGGTGTGTACAAAGATAGTTAAATGAAATTGCTTGATCATTGAGCGCACTATATGCCTTTATGAGATATCCAGGCCACCTCAGAAAACTGAAAGGATGCCTTTGATTTCAATTTGGTTTGTTAATTAGATGCAGAACTTGTTCAGGTTGAGAGCTAAGTGTCACCTGGGTTCTAAAATGTGGTGATTTCAAATGCAGTTCCTTATTAATGGACCTTATTTTGGTGACTCTTCACAGAACACCTTTCAACGGAGTTCTTCCAAGTCAACGTGACATACTTCAGTTCCCAGAAGCTCTTATCCCTTTATTAAGGAATCCCCTTTGAAATGATTCCAATTCTTCATAACTCTTTCTCTCATTCACACCAAAACGTGGGGGAATTTCCTTTGAAAAATAACGAGAATCCATTGTGAGGGGAAAGTTATGGTTTGGAAGGAAGATGTGTAGGAATGTTCAAGTTACTTAATGAGTGAATAAGTGAAGGTAGAAAAGAAGTTGAAGTTGTGCCTTTTAAAGCAGCACAATTACTTGTTTAATGACTAGACTGTTCGACATCTAGAGATTGGCAAAATGAGTGTTAAATCCATATCACCATGAGATGAATTGTGTGTCTCAACAGAGTACTCAATAGCTCAGCAGAAATTTTCTGCTAGTCCGCAGTTCAGAATAATTTGGTCTTTCTGAGTTCCTGTTGCATCTAATCAAAAATCTTAAGATGAGCTGTCTGTTGTATTTTATTACATTGTTCTTACCAACCTGACATCTTCCTGAAATGCTATTTTTGAAGTGAATTTCTACGCCGGAAAGGGAGCACATAATAATCCATATTCCCTTTTGGTAGGATAGAATACTGCTATTTCCTATTCTGCATGAACAGTGCGAGGCAACCGTAAACCAGGCAAACGGGATGCTGGGCAATACAGTATTGACAAATCAGTTACGTTCAGATGCCCAGAAATTATTCATAATGCTCAAGCCAGGATGCTGGAATCATTTAAAAAAAACAGCTTGATGCTGTGATAGGAAAACACTAGGGTGAGTATGGGTCATAGGGCCTTCTTCATCCAAGCCATCCGATCTTGTGAAAAGTCAAAAGATTTAACCTTTGCTTGAAGTTCATTATTCTCCTCTCGCATTCCCTGTTTCCAGGCTGGTTCTATCTTGAAACAAAAGATATCCTAACAAGTGAGGAAAGATTTTTTTTTTAAATAACATCACTTAAACCGTAAATGTGCAGTTATCTCTGTTCAGAAATAATAAGAATTGTATGATAGTTCATTATATTCACCATAACAAAAGACAATTACTGCACTGTACAGCAGATGCTTTGAAGCCATTTGAGACTTCCTCTCAACATAAAAGCAGCTAAATCCAATGCAAGAATCATAACTATTAATAAGAATATCAGATTGAATGCACCACAAAAACATGTAAGTCAATTGACTTGATACAAGAAACGTGCACCTAGAACAGATGGTTACCCACTGAAAAAGGTGGAAGAAAAATTCTTTGAGTTTTAGAGGAATTGTAAACCAGACAAATGTTGGGCTATGTTTAACTAGGCTAATGAAGAATCCGGGATGTGCCTCAAGAGGTATTTGATTTCATGTCCAAACACGTTATTTCAAGCCGTTCGTAACTTGTTGGCAAAGACACGGTTGCAACGTTATATGGCATTTCTCTGTGGAATAAGGCAGATTGAGCAAATATGTGATTCTCGTCTCTGAACTAGATGTCGTGGGTTGTAGACGAAGGCAGAAGTAAATTGAGAAAGTGAGATTGTACAAGGCCAATCAATAGCATTTCTAACCAGCTTTCTAGTGCACAGAGCGCTTTGAGGTAAGTGGCTGTGACAGTGCCACTGCAAAAACATTTTGTATGGATTCCATTATCTGTCTCTTGAATAGTCTCTTGATGAGTAAAACTGAGTATTCTAAGTAGTTCAAGGAAAGGGGCTAGCTTTCACAGAAAGCTCAAACTACAGGAGACATTAACCATCCATCAGCCATCAAAGATGCCGCATATTTAAGGATCAGACTGAGAAATGTTAAGCCCATGGATGTTTGAAATCTCTATTAACATTTGTTATAGATTACGAGGTGATAATTCTTATCTAATGCAACAGTCTTCTCCACGTTCCGCTATCACACGAGAGGTTTGGATGAAGATTGCACTTTGACCCATTCGACTTTACCCTGTCTTCCAGCAACCAGCCCTTTGCAGGAAAGCTTTGTTTTTGAAATCTGATGCTGTTGCACATTTACTGGAAAATAAATGATGCCAATAATTCCACCTCGGTCACTAACTCCTGGAATTATCGATCACCGTTTCTTATGTGTGCTTGCTGACTAATTTCCTATCGATCTGTGTGATTGCTTGTTGACAGCAATTATTGCTATGCAATTTGTCGCGTGTCATCAAGCAACAGTCACTGCGCTTTTAAATGCGTTCTTATCAGGTTTTAATACTCCCGTTCTGGCAACTTCACCGTCCCATCATTTCCCGCCTAAGCAAATCTGTGTCGCTTGCAACTTGACCGGTGAATCAAATTCTATGAGCAAAAGCTCTAGGACTTAGAAGCGCAATGTGTAGGAGCATTACCTATTTTAAAACTGTAACAGAGAAGAGGGGACTTGAAATATTACTAAGGAATATTAATTACAACGCGACATCTTCTACATTCTTTTCCCAATGACATTTTTTTCCCCGCTATCTCCACGGCTCAATTGGCAAAGGTCACGGTGGAATGGTTCTGCCCGAAATGAAACAGCAGGAATGCTGCAAGTCTGCGCTCAAGCTCTGCATTGGAGAATCCCGTTGTGGGGTTTGAACTCGGAACCTTCTGACTCGGAGGCTTAGAGTGCTACCAACTGAGCCAGGCTGACACATAACACCTTCTTGATAGTTTACGAGCTATTGGGCTCATAAATTTGCTTACTTAATTTGCCTTCTTTCATGCATTAGCCTTTTTACCTTAGATTATACCTAAGGCTAAAGATTTAATTAAGATTATCTGAAACGGTTTTTTTTTGCAAATAAATTAGGAGTAAGAAAAAATATCACAATATCACCTTCAGTGTACAACTCCATATGTGAAGTTTCTAATATCAATACAATCTAGTCTTTAGGTCAAAATAGATCCGTCAGTTCATAAGCCTAAATGCACTTTGAAATCTAGGTCTGAGCAAAGTTAACTGAAGAAAACAAGGCAATGTGTTGCATTTGTAAATATTTTCACACGCAGAGCACTGTAATACAGAATTAATCTCATTGCAGACTCTCAAAGACTAAGGTCTCCTGAGGTAAAGAGCAAAGCAGCAACTTGTGTAGAAAAAAGAGCATAGAAACAGGCCATTCGGCCCAAATGGTCTATGCCGGTGTTTACGCTCCACATGAGCCTCCTCCTGCCCTTCCTCAACTAAGCCTATCAGCTTAACCTTCTGTTGCTTTCTCCCTCATGTACTTATTGAGCTTCCCCTTAACGCCTCTATGCTATTCGCCTCAACGTGTACCTTAAGCTTTCATAGATCATTGAGTTCACTTTCATTTCAATTCTTTCTACTTCCAACCAATTCATTTGCTATTGGCTTACTGTTCCATCGCCGTGCATTTCACGCTAATGTCAACAGTTTTAAGAAAACGTTTACAATTTGTCAAAGGACTGGTCCATTAGCTGAAGTCACCATGTGAAACAGTACCGGCCTTAATGTATCTGTGTAAATATTCTATTACTTCCTTAGCCAACATCAAAAGCAATTTAACCAAGGCCAATATGCCACTGTACATCTCACCGGTTCTGGCCCAGGCTCCACTGGCTCCTCATCACCAAACCGATCGACTTCAAGATCCTCGCACTTGTATTCAAATCCATTCACTCCCTGTCACCTCCCTACCCCTCCAACCTCCTCACTCCCCAGCTCGCTAGTGGGTCCTGAGACCAATAGTATGGGGTGGTGGGGGGGAAATATCTAGCTTTCTTGGTATACGTTTATGTATATTTATATGAAATTGACAGTACTTTATCAACATTTTAATGATTATTAATATTTGTTGTTATTTTCTGTTAAATGTAGGGGTGTAAAGTTAAACACACATTACATATGAGATTGTCTGACTAAACATTTCCTCTGACACTGCAGCCTACCGGCGCCTTGGGACGTCCTTCCGACGTGAAAGGCGCTATACAATGTAATTTTGTGGTCGTTGTTGTTTCCCATTGAGTGTTGCCCCAGACCAGGGAGTGGCCAACCAACCAAATATTTTTTTCCTTGATTGAATATTTCTCGATTTATGGCCACACCATAAATAGTAGCTACTGGAAACAAAATATTCCTTTAACACAGATATGCCTAGACTAGTGCGAATGATAAATCGCTATATCAAATGCAAGGATTATTCTAAGCAATAATAATAATAATCCTTGCATTTGATATAGCGCCTTTTCACGTTTTCGAGACGTCTCAAAGCGCTTGACGGAATATACTGTAAAGTGAATTGACTGTATATTTGCGGGCGAGACGCGGATTAGATGTAGATTTACTAGATGCTCAAACACTTCGGCTGTTATTGGATAGCTGTAGGAAATAGCATAGGGGAGTAACACTTTCAAAAAGACTGCGCTATGGAGCAGGAGTGACATTTTCCCCCTTGCTTGGCTTTGTAAACCTAAACCAAAAGAACATTTTTGTGGATGAAATGCTCCCTCCTGGCTTCCTTCGGTATTGCATAACAACAGTTTGAAGTTTATGGATCGAAGCCGATTTACAACACTTCCCATATGCAGCAGTGAAACAAATTGGTGTGGAATAGTCATCAGTTACTTTTAATTTTCGATGAAATCTTTGGAAAACCCGAGAAATGGCTTTTACGTTCTCTTTATTAACAATGTTTTTAAAAAGCATGGATTACCTGCAAAAGCAAAAGCATGTGAGCATAAGGGATGATAAATGCAAAAGCGTATTCTCTTCTTCAAGGGTAAATAATACATTGTACTGATTCATGACGCTTTGAATCAGTATTGAACATTATCCAGGATCTGTATTATCTGCACTTGTGATGTTGACAACTGTAAGTAGCTGTCCAATAATTTGAGTCGATTATTTTACAAAATTATAGTTCATCGTTTGTTTCTCTTTTCATATTCTCGGTAGTATTCGATTTTTTGCCTTCTGTAGCTTTCTGTAAATAAAGGCAGAAGTCACTCAGGATGAAGGTTTCTATGATGACGATAATCCTTGCATTTGTGCCTTGTCAAGTCATCGAAGTCTCACAGGATTTTTACTGTGAAGTGTGGTGACTGACTATGCATTGAGAAGGCAGTTTCTCCCAGTGTCCGAGCCAACGAATCCGCCAAATAATAATGGTCACTCACCCCATGGCTGTTTTGGGGACATTGCTGTCCACAAACCGAATGCTGTGTTTTGCCCACAAAATACATGGTCAGTCCACTGTACAGTATATCCCGTGAAGCGCTTCGAGACGTCTCAATGATGTAATGAGGCGCTGTATCAAATGCAAGGATTATTTATTAACCTTGAAAATGATGTGACTTTGTAAAGAAATGAGACAAAGACTTTATAAACCCGAAAATGCACAGGGTTGAATCAGCAATATGTAAAATAAAAACTTTGGAAATAAAAATCAGTGTTGCATAGCAACCATGCAAAATCATGCTCCACTTGTGTAATAGCCGAATGCATACCTTTGACTTGTCTTTGTTGTCAAGTAGTAGACCATCATTATCCAGAAATGCAGAGAAGGCCTCCAGAGTGTGATCACCCAGATAGTGAACAATCTGTGAGAGACTAAATGTTAATTTCAGGAGCAAAATGGAGCAGGCATTACGTCAAAAATATAGAGCGGAATTACAGTAGAGTCCTGAAAATAACAAACCTTGCCATCTGATCCGGCAGGGAAATACTTAAAACTTGGATACCCCTCGATTAAGACAGAGTCAACATCATTAGCAGTGATGTCTATTTTAGCAATCTCGATGTTTTCCGACTCCTGGTATTTTTCTCCCACTTGATCCCAGATGGGATTAATTTCCTTGCATCGCTGAGACCAAGGAGCATCTTTAATTAAGAAAAGGAATAATAAATATTAACTGAGTTTCAAAGTTAAACCTTAAAATGCACTGACTGAGGCTGATTTCCAAACCACAGATATTGCCTTCATTAGATGTTCAGGGAATCGACCTAATGAAATTTTAAATATGAGTCGCCCAAGATCTAAAGAAATGATTCCTTAAGACTGAATCAGACAACGAAACATTGAGACTGGATTGAAATACCAAAATATTATGACATAGGATTAATGGGGTAATCATGGGGTAAGGAATGGCTTGAGTCGTTGTTAAGTCTAGGATTAGGAGAAGGTTTCGGGTTCGTCTTGTTTCACCCACAAAATATAGACTATATATATATTACATATTCTGTGAAGTGCTTTGAGACTCTCGATGACGTGATAAGGCACTATACCTAACGCAAGGTTTATTATTATTAATGTTCCCAAATCAAGCATGGATTTTTTCAGTTAAACTGAGGGGAAAATGATGTACTGCCCTGAGGTGAGTTTGCAACTCCTGCATGTTGAGTAGCTTGAAGTGCCAATGAAATTTTGAGGCAAAATGTAAATTGTTGTAATCACAAACCTGTTCTTCTGTTGTATAGACAGGCTATCAATTTGAATCCACTTGGATCATTTTCTACAGTGCTTGGTGTGAATATAAACCACCCATTGCACATCAGTCAAAATTGAATTCTTTGGTATTCTGGCCTGAGTCTAGTGGGAAGGAACATAAAAGCATTGCATTTCCACTCATTGCATTTCGCCCACAAATTATATTTTACAGTATCTTCTGTGAAGCTCTTTGAGACGTCTCGGCGACGTGATGAGGCCCTATATCAAATGCAAGGATTATTATTATTATAAAAAATTGTCATTAAAGTGACACCTAACTTACTTACCAAAAGAAATGCTTAGTAAATATAAAGCACATTTAACAAAAGAATTTAAGATTGTGTTTCGAATTCCAAATGGTGTTGAAATGGTTCGAGCAGAGTTTGAACAATACTCACAGAACATCACAAAGACATTCTTTGTGATATTAAAGACGACGTCATCAAAGTTTGTTCCCACCAGCACCTTTACGGGTTGCTTGTTCCAATCTGGTGGCAGTTCCTCACTGTATTGTTGAGGCTGATAAATAAAGAATGTCAAGACATTCAATGTCCTTTCATTGCAATGCTAACTCCAACTCTGCTTTAAAAAAAAATAAACCCACACAAACGCTCAGATCATCTTGGGAGTTTAAGTATTAACACAGCACCTTTGAAGATTGTGACAAGACTATACAACACTTCAGGAGCTAAAATACTTGTTAAAGCTGATTTACTATAACACAGAGCTCTGTAGTTATACAAATCTTCACTTTGTTAATAATATTAAGATGTTCCTATAATCTGCAATTGCAACACCGTTATTCAGGGTATCAGCCTTTCTACAACATTAAAATGATTTATAATTAGTTTAAATCAAAATGCTCCTCCAATCGATCTACCTTTGCTTTCCCGTCGAGATATTCCCGACAGAAAGTTACCACGTTTTCAGTCGTGACTTCATCCGCCTGCATTCTGTACCTCGTACCATCGCTCATGCTAATGGCTCGAAGCGCTGGGATGTCCATGTCTCGAATGCGAAACATCTCCATCATGCGACCGTTCTTGCTTTCATTGGCATCGACCAGAATAAAGAGCAGCTGCAAAGTTGAGCAAAGAAAAATTGCACAAAAATGGAAATGATCATAAGAAAACAGTCCCTAACCTGGATATACTTGTATATAAGAGAGAGGGAGGGAGACAGAAAAAAAGATTCACTCGACACTCTGGAAAAAATAGTTGGATAATTCTCGTGCCTGGCTGGTAGAATAATAGCTTCCTAAATTCACATTTGAACTGGAGGAAGAGCAAACCTTGGCTCTGAAGTCGGCAGCTGCAGCCGTGAAGTTTTCAAACATCTCCTTAAACTCCTTGGACGTTTTGTCTGCGAACAACAGGACGTGGCTGTCGACTGTAGAATCAGAGATTTTGCCAGCGGTCTGCAAGGCATTTATTTTAAAGTGTAAATAAATAAAACACACAGTCACTGCACTTTACAATATATCCTGCGATTAGCTTTGGGACGCCCTCCCGATGTATATAAGTTTATTGTTATGGTACCACAGGATCTTTAACGTCCACCTGTGTCAGCCTACGCTGTGAGCTCAACGTCTCTGGCTTGGACCTTCAACTTTCTGACTCTGAGATGAGAGTGCTACCAACTGTGCCAGGCTCAGTTGAGAGAAATAAAGTAGTAAAAAGAATTAAACTTCCAATAGCTTGTTAACTGCGATACTTTATAAACAATATTCTAAAATTTAGCTTGAAATAGAACCCATTGTAATTACTGAACTTACCAAGCGATTATATTCTGTGACTAAACTCAGCTCATTGACTCTGATGAATTTTGTCAGGTTATCTTTATCCAGTCTGTTTCTTTCAGCAGATTCATAGTTTACCTGCTTATCTTCAGACTGGAAACGGAGGAAAGGAAATGTTAGACACGCGCGCACACACGCTCCCACACACACACACACACCAAAGGGGTAAAATTTCACCAATTTTCTCCATTAAATTCCATTGGCGACCATGTCATACCTTTTTGAACAGAGTGACAGTATCCTTGGTGACACCGTATTTAATGAAACTCTCTGTGTTGTTTGTAACACCAAATGGGAGATGGGGGATGTCTTTTGCAACTTCGTAAAACGTGTTGGTGTCATTTCCTCTAAGATCCTGTTTGAAAAACAAAATGCATGTTGTAGTAATAGTAATAATCATCCTTGCATTTGATACGGTACCTTATCATGTCAATAGCTCAAAGCCCTTCTCAGGATTTATTGTAAAGTGTAATAACTATTATGTTCCCCTACAAAATACACATTCATTACACTTTACAGTAAACCCTGTGAAGCACCTTGAGATGTCCTCCTGACCTGAAAGCCGCTACATCAAATGCAAGAATTCTTATTAAAATCTGTAGGCGGGTGCAATAGCCAATTTGCACACAGCAATGTCCCAAATCCAGCCAGGAAGTGAATGATCAATTTAACTGGAGGATTGTTGGCCAAGACACAGCAAGACACTACCTTCTCATTTTGAATGAATGCCATGAAACCCTTTAGCGTCCATCTGATCAGGCAGACGGAGCCTCAGTTGGAAATTGAAAAATACAGACGGATAAGGGGAAGGTTTACATAGCTACAGTATTTACGCAGTAAGATTTACACTGTGCGACTGTATATTAGGGTACATAGTATATCTATACATCTACAGTAAGACACTTGTGTTCAAAAGTGGCAGAAAGCAGGCATTTTTCCACGAAAGCCTTTCTATCACACTTTTTCTATCAAGAACAGTGCTAATAATGCAACTTTACTGTTGATCACCGGCAATGGAGATGTACAGTACTTCTTCCAATGTGTTGTTGTGAGGGCACATTTATATTGACACTGCTAGTGAGTCACACAGATAAAAAAAAATATATGCAGCAGCGGTGTCAGGTTTTTTTTAAAAAGACCCTCTTGTTTTGGAGCTGAACTGAGGCAGTTCAGGAGAATGAGCTGTGCGATGGAAAATGAGCCCCTGAATAAAGTAGGGCAATGAGTCTGATGAATATGTAACGTGTGTTCAATCGGCCTGTTCTCCCACATTAAGTGATCTACTGCATCACTGTGTGAGGCAGACCGATGTCTCCAAGGTATAATTATCCTGTGAAGGTTTCCCACAGAGCGAATTGACAAGCTGAGGCGCGGTCTGAATTTTTCCTGTAAAACGATATTCTTGGGATCTCTGCTGTTGTGTAAATAACCGTCGGGGACACTGCGATTAGTGAGCGACTGATCTTGCACAATAAAAATCCAATTGGAATTGTGCAGAACCATTTTCGCTTACTTTGCTTTCTTTCTCCTTTGATTAAAAAAAAATGATTCAAGGCTATCATTCTTCCTCCATTCACATCTGTCATCACAATCTCTCAACTCTGCCTCCAAGCACCTGGCTCCTGATTCTCTAGACCAGTCACTCACCGATAGGAATCCTACCCCCTCGTTTTCTTGCATATATAATAATAATAATCCTTGTATTTGATATAGCGCTTTTCATGTCTTCTAGATGTCTCAAAGCCCTTCACAGAATAGACTGTAAAGTGAATTGACTGTATATTTATGGGCGAAACGCGCAGCCAATTGAGCACAGCAGCGTCCCACAGACTGTCGCGGATTGAGTGACCAAATTACTATTGTTTTTTTTTGAGGGATTATTATCAGTGGAGTAAGGAAACTTGCCCAAGGTTTCGCCCTGCCGGGAATCAAACCCAGGTCTCTCGCTTGCAAAGTGAGTGCTCTAACCACTGAGCTACAGAACTCCACAAATGGCTTTTATAGGTTAGCTAACCTTGTTATACATTAGATAACCTTGTTACAGGTTAGTTTAATCTTGTTATAGGTTAGGTAACCTTGTTGATAAATGACTTGACACTTGTCAGACTTAATATCAATAGTTTGTTTTATATCATTGACTCTGTTCATCTTCTATAATTAAACAATAATACAAAGGCTATAGAAGGAGTTACCTTGAAGAAGCCAACGATAACCACATCTTCTGACCCTATAAAGGTTTCAGTATGAGTTGTATTGACTAGAAATATGGCACTAGAGCCAATTCTTCTTTTTAGCCAAGTGATAATGGAGGGAGCTGCATTCACGCCTGAAAGATAGGATTGTGGAGGTGAGCAACTTACTTTTTCATCTTGCAAACAGAACTCAAAATACATTGCTGCCATTATTTGTTGTAATTTATGACTATATCAAATAGAAACCTTTGCAATTAATTGGATTTTTCCTGTTCCCTTCTGTGAACAAATTCAGAACTGGGTACTTCTGAGATTTAAATTCTTTGCCAAGGTCCTTTTCTGCCGAAACATCAACTTTGCCGAGTTTTGCTGGAAACTTTTCGCTGCTGAGCTCTTCTGCAGCTCTCTCAAATTCTGCCATTAAAGCAAGAGAAGCGCCAGACAGAGGGGCATCTGCAGATGAAATGAGGTCAAGGTCATGAAATACCAGAGGCACAACTACAGCACAAGAAGGAAGTGGCCTACTCTGCACAAACCTCAACACTTCACCTCTGAACCCAATAATGCAACCTGAGTGCATCGCGCCAACTTAAACTAGTTTTGCGAGTTATTCATTTATTTTCGGTCTGATAGTTTCATCTTCTTACCATAAGGGTTCATGCGATTGCGATCTCTGGGACATGCTTTCCCATGGAGGCATCACAAATTCTCTTTTGCAGGCACCTTGGTATGTTGGACAAAATAGTCGATTCAGGTCTAGTCAGCTCAGAATTAATGATAATAACAATAATAATCGTTGCATTTGATGCAGCGCCTTATCACGACAAAGGGATGTCTCAATTCGCTTCACAGGAATGCTTTGAAATGGAGTGACACTTAGTATGAAGGACGCAATACAAATGCAGGTTTTATTGTTGAGCTTTTCCGTGGGTAATAATCCCTTCAAAATAACATTTTAAAAAAACGAAATAATAATATTTTGGGACACTGCTACGAGCAATTGGCTGCTGTGTTTCGCCCACAAAATACACTTTCCAATATATCCTGTGTAGCTCTTTGAGACGTCTTGAAGACATAATAAGGTGCTATATCAAATGCAAAGATTATTATTAGCTCTCCATAGCAAACTTGGATATAACTTGATAATCTCTTCCTCTGAACTGTTGTTTATTATTCTGTATAAATCGCAGACCAATTTAATTTCATTCAATTTATGATATTTCATATTAAATACAGAATACGCATTCGTACATTTCAAAAGCTGATAATTTCATCCAATTTATGTTATTTCATATTAAATACAGAATACGCATTCGTACATTTCAAAAGCTGATAGGCAAGGAACAAGAATAGAGAGTCTGGTCAGCTGCACTTTGTTGCCATCTTCTGGTTAAACACACACAGTGAGCGTTACAAAACTGATTCCTCGTCAATGAAGGAAAAGGTCTGATGTTCTTACGTGTAAGATCCTCACCTGAAAAAATGTGAGTTTGGGTGGAATTTGGGGCGGTTTCAGTTTGGAAGCTGTTTTTCCTCATTACGTTAAAAAGAACGGCAGAAAATCTGTTCACAGTTTGAACGTGAATTTGAAACCGTTTGTAAAACTCGGTTCACCGTTAAATTGAAGCTCGTCTTAAGACTAAGAAAAAGTAGGGCAAATTTCCATGGCCACGAGAGAGAGTGCCTCACATACACACCCTGATATCGACCCACTTTTCCCAGCTCAGTGTGAAGACAGTATTGGGCACGACGCAGATTCTCTCAAGCACATCATGAGCTGAACAAAGTAATCAGCGAAAATCTATTCCCTTGTCAGGAATGCAAAGATGAAAGTATTAAATGAATTCAATAAAGGCAGAGAAAACTATTCTTCTCTCAGATTCAGCTCACCAGCAATCAGATTTTAATCGGTGTTTTCCACAACTACTTTTCTCCTGTTTTGTTTTCCTTCAACGTTAATAATAAAATAAATAATAATCCTTGCATTGACACAACGCCTTATCACGTCAGAATTGCAACTCAATGTGCTTGACAGGAATGACTGTGAAGTGGAGTGACTGTGTATTTCCAGGCAAAAACATGCAGCACAATTGCACATAGGAGTGTCCCACAAACAGCCAAATTTATTTGGGGGATTGTTGGCCAGAACACTGGGAGAAATTCCCTTCTGATTTCAAATAGTGCCAGAGGATCTTTAACATCCACCTGAACAGGCAGACGTTTGCATTTGCTCTTTAATTGTGGGAACTCCAATTATGCAGGTGTATTTTGAAGATCCCATGACACTACTGGAAAACATAATAGAGTTTCTCCTGGTGTCCTGGCCAACAATCCTCCAAAGATAAATTGGTTATTCACCTGATGATTGTTTGCAGGACTTAGCTGTGCACAAATTGGCTCCAATTGCCTACAAATACACTTGACAGCAATTACCTGTGAAGCACTCGAGACATTTCAAGGGCTGCTTCCAAAGGCAATGCAGACGGGAAGTGAAAGGAATTATACAACACAATCTCTGCAGCAGAATCTCCTTGGATATTACAACAGAGATTAATCCACTGTTTGTTCATGAGGTGGGAATACTACATCTGGCGCGAGCTGATAGGAATTGGCTCACCGAGTGCAATGCTAGTTGCTAATTGTTTGCTTCCACTGCTGCAATGGCGATTGAAAAGCATAAGTCGGGGGACAGCCCAACGGCATTTGCAATTTACAAATGAGTGACAAATGGAAAGTATTTTCCCTCATCCTTGAAGCTCTTTGGAATCCGTGGGACTGTAATGATTTTGCAACAAGTGTATAGCAGGTGCTCAGAATAAATTGCAACCCCAGCATTATTTGATATAATAATAATAATGATAATCCTTGATACAGCGCCTGATCATGTCTTCTAGACGTCTTAAAGCGCTTCTCTGTAAAGTGAATTGACTGTATATTTTGAGGGTGAAATGCGGCAGTTAAATGTACACAGCAGTGTCCCACAAACAGTTGTGGCTTGAAGTGACCAATTTATTATGATCATTATTTTGGAAGGAATTACTACCCTCTAAATATTTCACCTTGAACGCTGGCACTTCGAAATGTTTTACTTTTATCATATATTTCGGAGAATATTCCGAATCAATCTGATAAATATCCCTCCTTACTGAGAAGGTAGGGACTGATTTAATTGGCACAACTGCCTTGACTGTAATGTAAAGTTAACAACGTAAACGCCAATAAAAACAAACTACTCACAGAAGTTGACGAGGAGATAGTTGTTCTCTGTCAGTGCCTGAGCAAAGTTGCCTTTACCCAGTATAAGCACCTTGTGCTCTTGCTTGATCTTGGATCGCTGGACTCTCTGTGCTTTCGTGCCATTTCCTTTCTTCTGGTTCTGGGTGTTGTGTTCTGCCCGGGCGACGGCAAAGAGCAACGGCAGAAAGAGTGGGATTCTCATATTGCAACTGTGTGAGGCACAGCCCAAAAAGCTCAGTCACGCTTTTCCTCTTCGGGCACTGAAAATATACGTTAAGAACGAAAAAGGGTTTAACATTCCCGAAGCAAACAATTCACGGACGTAAAGGGGCAGCGCTGCAAAAATGATTAATGACGCATTTAAAAAATCGAGTTAAGATAGGATGAAAAGTTGCGGAACACAGCATTAGAAAGTTATTGCTGCCGGTTAATCAAAGCACCCCTCGCCTTAACTAACCAGAACACGGATCAGTATTTGCGCTGAAGCCTAAGAGGCAGAGTTTGAACCTGTCGTGTGTGTTACCAACAGTGACAACCCTCTGCTGTCGGTGTCACCTGCTCCTACGCAGATTGGAAACGCGCTATTTCTAAACTTCCAAAATGAAACGACTTGGTTCTCCTTCGGAGAGCGGGAAACGAAACAATCGATGGAAATGTCTTTCAGAAACGTAAACAAGCTGTGGGAATTCCACCGCTGGTGACAGCATTGATCAGCAGAGACTTCAGCTCTGAACTGACCACCCCCCCACCTCCCCCCCAAAAATAGTTACACTGATGTGATCAGTGATCCCACGGCACGTGTTAAGCCAGAACCCATAACCCAGATTTCACCTGGGCCCAAGTTGTCTCTATTTTCTGAGCATTTCGGGTCGCGCAGAATTTGGCAAATTGTTGAATTCAGTCTCGACTTCGAAAGACGGTTTTCTGCAGTTCTCTTCGAAATGATTACTGATAATCCTTGCGATTGACGTAGCACTTTTATCACATCGTTGAGCGGTGGTGAGAGCGCGTGTGTGCCTGTGTGTGCGTATGTGTGTGTGCGCGTGTGTGTGCCCCGAGTACCTGACACACAGGGAGGTTGACATTTCGCTGTATCTGCAAACCTCCTTCACGTTCCACTTGTACCTTGCACTGTAAAAACCTTTTTTTTTTAAAAACTTCTAGCGTATATTAATAATAACGATAGTAATAAATGATACGAACCCTCAATGCAGAGCCTTTCGCCCTGGGAAGACGTCTCCAAGCGCTTCGCAGGGTTTCGCTGTAAAGTGTAGTGACTGTGAAATTTACAGGCAGCCGATTCTGAGCACGGTGACGTCTCCGCAAACAGTTTTATCTGTCGGTCAGGACACCGAGAGAGATAGAGAAAGAGAGAGCGAGGGAGAAAGAGAGAGAGAGAAACTCCTTCCTCTTTTTCCTGACATCCTGTGGGGGGTTGCATGAACAAAATTTGTGCGCACGCATTAAACTGCCGGGAATTTCATAACTTGTTTGATGAAGAGGCAAATGAGGAAGGGAAGTTATTCCCTCATTGCAGTGTTCGTTGGCTCTCAAAGGGGAAGGCTCTTGAATGATTTGGGAATTTAGAAGAAAAAGTGCTTGCGCTTTACCTGCTAACTGTGGTACCCTCACCACTACCCTCACTCCTCAACCCACACCCCCCCCGCCCCCACCGCCCTCCCCCCCGGCTCACAGTCAGGCTCCGCCACTGTTAAGGCTCTGAGACCTACCCTGCATGGTGGGTGCTATATAAGTGCAAGTTGTTGTAGTTTTTGGAGGAGGTGGAAGAACATCTTGAAGACTGCAAACTCCTTCAAGTCAGTGACTGGTTCAGTGACCTTGCTTTCCTTACGCACACAACCAGTCATCTTAACGACCTCAATGCAGGCTTGCGGGGAAAGAATTGCCTTTTTCCAACTCTTGTTTAATTTAATTTCAGCTTCCAAGGCCAAACTTAACCCTTTTTTTTTTGAACATTTGGGGAAAAAAAATGGATAACTTTGTTCACTGGCAACAGTTAAAAAGTGACAGTAACGTCATCGCCAGTTTTGAAAAATATCAGAACGCGATTTCTTCACTAATCAATTCCTTTATCCAAATCGGACACGATGCCCAGTATCTATGCCACCTACACGTGGAAATGTCCTTGTATCTGGAATGGAAGGCGCTCTCTCTCTCTCTCTCCTTGGAAGGACATACCCTGTTCACTTAATTCCAGAGGGTGTGAGGCACGGGTTTGTAAGCGCCAAGGTTTGGGGACCCCACAGTGGACGTTGGGGTAACTGTCGGAGTCTAACCGGCTCGAACCACATAGCTTGCCATTGAGAGAGGGAGAACCTGGCAAGCTTCCCATCGTTTGCCCAGCTGAGAACCACCCAAGCAATAGGGCTTTGGGTTGCAGGGTTAACAGGAGCTGAATCAGAAGAATCTCTGCTTCCAGTGACTGGTCTTCTCCTGTATGTACCACCAACAAGCCAGACTAGTTGGTTTGTCATCAGCCATGCCCTGGAGCACTGCAGGCCGGTCTAGCTCAGGAACTAGACGACAGAGACCACCACAGAGGGCTGACTCAACTCTGACATGATGTTGAGAGCCATCATCTTGGAGACACTCCCTCACTCCCCCACCACTCACTCCCACCCGCCTAGGATAGTTTCAACATATAGACGTCGTTGAGTGACTAATGTAATTCAGATGAGATCTCAGAGAAAAAAGGCATTTATTATTCAGAAAGCAATTGAACATTTTACTTCGTGGAAACGTTACAAAAACTCGTCAAAGCAGGACGGCGAAGGCAAATTCAATACTTGTTTTATTGCAGTAGAATATATTTCCTACTTTAACCCTTTCCCACCAAGAGCGTTTGTTCCTGCTGGCAAATGATCAGCCACTTATACAACTGTACAAGCACAAAAAGGGGTTAAACCCCTTTGATTACCAGAGTTGCAATACTGGCTTTGAATATAGTTTTGTATAAAATTGCATAAATGTGTCTATTATAATAAACTATAATTCATCTTTCCTCGCTTCACCACCGGCAACCTCCTCTGCAGGACGCCCCTCAATTGTTTTGTTGCTCCGGCCATCAAGACTATCGCCAGCTTCCTGCAATATTTAAAAGGGAGTATTACAACAACTCCTAAAGCACCTTTCACCCGGAGTGACGTTTCCGAGCACTTCATCAGGACGGATGCAAAGTAATGGGGAGTGGCCATGACCGCAGGGGGGGTTCAAAGGGGAATGTTCAGGGGGTTAGAGGTTGATTAATAATAATGATTATTGATATTTATTATTGATATTAAACTCGGAGCAATTAACTGTAGCAAATCATTCGCTTCATTGGCAAATTCCTTGCAGGCAGCAAAAGCAATTTCACTGACCAGATCTTCATCAGCTTCATCATCTTCGTCAGCTTCATCATCTTCGTCAGCTTCATCATCAACTTCAACATCATCAACATGAGGCATTACACCCCCATTGTCCAAAAACGTTGTAAAGGTTTCCAGGTCCCTTGAAACTTCATAGTTTACAATCTGTGGGAAAAGTAACATTTAGTTTTCTTTATATCCAGAAAAATAAAACTTGGATTTGTAAAAAAAAAAAATGTCCTTTGGCTATTTTAGCATTTCATTTTTTTTACAAAAAGCTTTAGTAGAAAGATTGATTAGTTTATGAATCTATAACTCATTCCTGATATAATAATAATAATAATACTATTAATAAAAAAAATATACAGTCAATTCACTTTACAGTATACTCTGTGAAGCGCTTTGAGATGTCTCGGAGATGGGATAAGGCGCTCTATCAAATGCAAGGATTATTATATATTATATATACTTTTCTCCAGTATAAATTATATATATATATAAACTTCAGAATTTTTACTATAATGTATTAAAAAAAAGTAATGAATTTAACAACAATATTAATAATTTTGCGTTATAACGCCATTTGCGTCAGGAGGATGCCTCAAAGTGCTTCACAGGCTTTACCTTAAACTGTCGTGACTGTGTATCTTGTAGGTGAGTGACAATGGCGTGAAACACACAACATTGATAATTGAAAAAAATCTAAACAGACCTTTCTCTCAGAGTCAGCGGGGAAATATTTGATAGTTGGGAATCCTTTGATCGGAACGGATGCAACTTCGTTGAGTGTGGAATCTATTTTAGCGATGACAATATTCTCATGGTCTTTGTACTTCTCTCCAAGTTGCTCCCAGATCGGAGCCAGTTCTTGACAGTGACCGCACCAGGGTGCATCTGCGAGACAGAAGTACAACATTTTCGCCACCAACAGTTTTCTTCCCTCAGCATTTCTGTGCGTGATCAACTGATCGCAATAGTGATGGTGAATACTAGCCCTTAGCTGAGGAGTAGGATGTGCACGAACAGGATGTGTGTGCTTGGGAAATCAATCATTCACAGTGAAATACCTGTTGGTATTTTTCTGCTTTCCCCGTTGCAAACTTATTATTGTCAAGCTATTAATTGTTTATCATCATTGTTAATGGACAAGTTCTGTCTAGTTTGCCTAAGCCGTTATCACGATAGCATTGCCCCCATAATGTTCCCCATAGCACTGTCAATTTACAGAAATAAGTTTGTGAATTATAGGCATTGCTCATTTCCACCTGTAATACTTTCAGTTACTATGAGAGTTGACTGATTCCATGAGGTTTGGTTCATTGTTCTCGTGAAATGTTTTTTGTTTGCAATCTAAAGCTGTAGACTCGAGGATAGAGTTCCTGGTGAAGAAACTGCTTATCTTTTAAGATCCTCAAAACTTTGTGTGTGTCTGTATGCGAAGTGAAAATGGACACGTTTTACTCCATCATTCTTGCACTAACGCTTGTTTAAATTGTCAGAAATTTCCAGATATTGCACATTCATAACCACATGAGTCCCGCAGATTTAAAAATATTTACAAAATATAAAGCCTATTTCTGCGAATGACTGAAAAAAAGGTAAACTATTATAATATTAGTATATTTACATTTTTGTAAATTCACGGTAAAGCTCATTATAGACAATAAAACTTGCAGTTGTATGTGATTCCCAATCCCAAATGCTTTCAGAATATGAAAATGTACCTGCGTGGCACAAAAGTACTTACAGAACTCCACTAAAACATTCTTAGTCTCATCGAAAGCAACTTGGTCAAAGTTCTTCCCAACCAAAACTTTAACAGGGTCTTTGTCCCAATCCTCAGGGATATCCTCACTCTTCAGGTAAACCTAAAGTGATCAAAATAATAATAAATAATAATTATAATCTGTGCATTTGATACAGCGCCTTATCACATTGTTGAGACGTCTCAAAGTGCTTCGCAGAATATATTGTAAAGTGTGTTTTGTGGGTGAAATGCGGTAGCCAATTGTGCACAGCAGTGTCCCACAACCAGTCGTGGATTGAGTGATTAACCTTTTTTCTTCTTTTTTGGCGGGGGTTATTACAAAAGGAACTTTTGGCACAATGGACCAAGTCACTAGAAGTGTGGGTAAGAATCCATACTAAATGTCAATGGTAGATTGGTTCAAGTATCAAATATTATTAATGTTGGTTACGCTTCAGCTTTACCAAGGTGTGGGTGTTTTTTAAACAAGAAAGCTTGTACTGAGCATCAAACCTCAATGTTTCCGTCAATGACATCTTGACAGAAGTTCTTTATGTTCTCTGTGGTAAGGTCATTGTAGGGAAACTTGTACTTCTTAAGCTTCTCGGTGTTAATTAAACGGATCGTTGGCACATCTTGCTTCTTAACAGCGAAATACCCTAACACGTGCTCAAAGTCGCCAGTTACATCGATAGAAACAAAAAGGACCTGAAACGAGAAAAGATACCAGTGAATTAGGTCATTCGGCAAGGGGGGGGGAATGCTTTATCATAAGAATACCATTTACTGCTCTTCCCAATATGTCCTTACCTTATTTATTTATTACCATTTAGATATTTTTCTGACTCTTTCCTAGATTTCCCAAAGCCTTTTGACTTCCTGAACTAGACGTTAATCAAATCTTACCACCATGGAGCTATCGACTAAGGGTGTGATTGACACAGCTCCAGTCACACCTCTATCTCAGTTCCGCAGTCTTCTCATGGGCAGAAACATTGTATTATTGGGGGGGGTTCTGTGTTGTGCACGGACAACGCTTTAGGATGTATCAAGACAGGATAGCAAGGGGAGCCAGGTTTAGAATTTTAAAGGGTTGTAAATAACAATTACAGATACCAGAACGTTTTTCCTTTAAGCAGAGATTAATCAACCACTGGAACAGCTTGCCAGAAAAGGTGGTAGACGCCAGGACACTGGACACATTTAAAAAGCAACTTGATGTAGTGATAGGGGAATGGTGGTGTGGGTGTTCTGGAGGGATGAGATCGGATGAGCCAAAGGGTCTTCTTCATCCAGGCCGTTGCTGTGATCTTACGACCACGTGGTATTGGCATTGCATGAGTTAACTTCATCCTTCCAACAAGTCAGGAACATAAAAGGACGTTGCTGAGCAACAGATTCCCAGATCCGTTGTCACATCCACTTGTCAGAATATAAAGAAGAAGCTCAAAATGAAATCAAAAGCAGAATTCGGAGCCAGTTTTCTTTCAACTAAAATGGGAATTGATTTTCGTCGCATAAAACTCGGGAGAGACTGCCTGGAAGTTTCAATGTTTCCAAGTAAAAGCCAGCTCTTTAAACATCTGTAATCTGTTTACCGAGATGAAATTGAGAGATTAGTGGATATTAAAGAGAAGCCACAGCACCTTGCCTCTGAAAACTGCTGCTGCCCTTCTGAAGTTCTCCAGTAACTGATTGTGCTCCTCCGTTGTCTTATTGATGAACAGCAGGATGTGATTGTCAGCTTTAGCATTGAATATCTTCAAGTTGTTCTGCAAAATTAAATTCTGAGATTAGGATCGGCTTGTCAGAACTCAGCAATTATATCATAATGGCACTTGATCTTTATAACAGTAAGACAAATATCATTATCCTTACATTTGATGTTGTGCCCTGTGTCTTCACATGATTTACCAAAAAGCGTGGTGACTGTGTATTTTGTAGGCAAACACAGCAGCCAATTTGCGTACAGCAGTTTCCCACAAGCAGCAATGAAATGAATGATTAATTTTATCCGGGGAATTATTGGATAGGACCCAGAGAGAGAAACTCCCTTTTCTTTTCAAATAGTGCCAGGGTTCTTTAACGTCTACCTGGGTAGAACAGGTAGGACCTCACATTAATGTCTCATTTGAAGGATGGCACAATGCAGCGTTTCCCCGCACTGTATGAGCCAAGCTGGACACCCAAGCACTCCAGGACACTATCCTGTGTGAAAGGCGTAATGCAAGTTGTTGTCGTACTGTACCGTCAGCCTGGAACATGAGCTCAGAGTCTAAACATGGGGCTTGATCCCACAATCTTCTGATTTAAGAGGCGGAGAGAGTGCTACCCACTGAACCAAGTTGGCACCCGTAATAAATCACAGTTGCACCTTATCTGAAAAAATTTTGAGGAAAAAAAATATTGCTAAGTTCGTGCATGACATACCTCTTCTGTAAATTCAGTTACTAATTCCATTTGGTTTGTTTTGATAAATTTGTTGAGCTCTGCCTTATCCAGTCCAGCTTCATCGTCAATCACTAGATCTGTCTGGGGCTCATCAAACTGCAAAGGAATAACATGCGTTGGTGATTCCACCTGACCAGCCAGGGCACTCTCCACTGGTGAAATACAAGTGTGTGTATACCTCACATAGCCACATAGAATTACATTGAACCTTACAGCACAAAACAGGTCATGAAACCTGTTTAGTCTGTGCTGGTATTCACACTCCATACGAGCCTCCACACCTCCAAATCCCCTCTCCCACAGCCATTCTGTTTCTTTCTCCCTCGTGTATGTATCACACTGGAGAGTTTAATGGAAAAACTTTCATTGGGAAGAAAATCATCGCATTGTGGGATATTCTGTTCCCAGTTGATGCGCCTGTCGATAACTGCTGCAGGAAAAACCCCTCCTCTCCCCCAACTCTAACTTTGTTTGTATAATTTCACCCAGAGCCAGTTGCTGCCTTACATATATAGCATTTCTGTGCCTGATCAGGAAACACTGACCTAACTCAACTTTAAATGAGCGGAGACCATTTGATCCATCGAGTCTGTTCCTCTATTGTATTAAATCACAGGAGAATTGCTTCCACAGTATCACTCCATTACTTCTTTGTCAAGAGTTAAAGCTGGTTCAAAGTAAAAAAAAACACAGTAAATACCAATGTTTTTGGTCTCACCTTTTTGAACATTGTTATTGTGTTCCTGGTAACGCCATACATCTCCCAAACCTTGGCATTGTTGGTCAGAGCGAATAGTATTTCGACAATATCATTTGCCACCTCTGAATAGACTTCCACGGAGCCGTCTTCAAGGTCCTGTGCAAAGCAATACAGAATCTGATCGGTGCGAGACTCCGGTGAACAATAGGGATGTTTGAAAAGAGGCAGCTTTGGCATTTTGATGGATTTTGAAAGACGCTTAATTGTACCCGGGAAACGATTACCTTGAAAAAGCCAACAATGACCACGTCCGCTGAGTGAATAAAAGTTTCAGCTTCATCCACACTGTCGAGGAATGTAGTGCTGGGGCCTATGCTTCTTTTCAGCCAGCTGACAATACCTTTGGCGTTTCGTTTCCCTGAAAGACCATAAAACGTCACCCGCACATCAATTTTTCTTGCGGCTTAAGTGATTCATTGCCCCCGCTACCAAAGCTGTTTAAGCTTCGAAAACAGATAGAACACCCCACTGTCTCATCGATAGTCAGCGGGAGATTTGACTTAGAAAGAAACCATTTGCTTTTGTAACGCCAATCAAAAAAAGATTGAACAAATGAGGATCAGGACTTACACCGGTTAATTGAGACGCGTTAGCTTTTTGTTAAGTTGATTGGTTCGAAATTACTTCTCCGAGCTTCATGGCTTCTGTTTTGGATGAAATATGGATCCCACGATAAGACAATTGCATAATCATCACTTCCCAGGCATCCAGGACCGCTTTGCAACATGTGATCTAATCATTTATTGACCCCCAGCCAGGAAGTGTTTGATGGACCATGTTACCTGTGTACTCAATTGGAGCTTCTCGATTGCTCTCCTTAAAAAACTTCAATGTTGGAAAGCTTTTGATGCGAAATTCCGACCCCAGTTGCTTGTGCTTTAGAACATCAACCTTGGCCAATTTGATTTCTGAAGATTCGTTGTTCAGTTGGCCTGCAGCCTCGACATATTCTGGTGCCAAAGCCTTGCAGTGTCCACACCACGGAGCATCTGTTAGAACAGACGAGCAGATGTGCTTAGAAAGCATCACAGCATTAGACATGAAAAAATAAACACTTGTCTCGGCACATCAGAGTCGTCACACGAGGAGTCCTGTAGCTCAGTGGTTAGAGCACTCGCCTCGCAAGCGAGAGGACCTGGGCTCAATTCCCAGCCGGGGCGAAACATTGGGCAAATTTCCTTACTCCACGCGCCTCTGTTAATTTGGTCACTCAATCCATGACTGTTTGCCAGTCACCGCTGTGCACAATTGGCTGCTGTGTTTCGCCCACAAAACATACAGTCAATTCACTTTACAGTATATTCTGTGAAGCGCTTTGAGACATCTCGAAGTCCTGATAAGGCGTTATATCAAATTCAAGGATTATTATTATTATCGTATTGAGTCTTGATCTATCTATGATTTGTTTTAAATGCCGGTCTTATTATAATCACACCCGTTTTCATCTTCTTCCTAGCTCCTGTGGCTGACGCAAAGCAAACTTTTTAAACTTCTAATTTAAAGTTTTAGACTTGCCTGGCTGGCCATCGCAGATCAGATGCATTAAACAATGTTCACTCATTGAAGATGTCATTATTTAAGTCATGTACACATGTAAAGGTACGCATAGGATTCTTAATAAATTAATTATATTAATATAATTAATATTAGATTAAGTCCTGTAGCTCAGTGGTTAGAGCACTCGCTTTGCAAGCGAGAGACCTGAGTTCAATTCCAGGCAGAGGGCGAAACCTTGGGCAAGTTTCCTTACTCCACACAGAGCCTAATAATAATCCCTCCAAAACCAAAAACAATAATAAATTGGTCATTTTCAATCTACAACTGTTTGTGGGACATTGCTGTGCGCAATTGGCTGCCGCGTTCGCCCACAAATATACAGTCAATTCACTTTACAGTGTGTTCTGTGAAGCGCTTTGGGACGTCCTCCCGACGTGAAAAGCGCTATATCAAATGCAAGGATTATTATTATTATTATTATAAGCCAGATGTGGCTTTATAATAATAATAATAATAATAATCCTGGCACCGTGATGTACAATTGGTACCATCGCTATAGAATTTGAGGCAGGTTCTGAAAGTCTATAGAGTCATTTATTGAATGTATTAACTATGGGAGTGATGAAATATATACTTTGAACACTTTTAAGAGCAATCTGCTTTGAAACATCCAATAGATTTGTGAAAAAAAAACCTTAATTTAGAGCCTCGGAGACTTGAAACGTTTTTGTTACTCACAAAATTCCACCAGAAGGAACTTGTTCTCGGTTAGCGCCCTCTCAAAGTTGTGCGTGTTCAGCACGAGGACCCCCTCTTCTTCGGTGATTTCGTCCGAAATGATTTCCTCGACTTCTGTCCACTCATCGCTGCTTGGGGTGGCTGGTTCTCCTTTCACCTCAGTGTCTCCTTCTGTCTTCACAGGGGACAGGAGCGCTAGAAGCAGCACAAAAAGGCAACACCGCTTCCTCATAGTGGATGAGTCAGGGAGTGAGTCAGGAAAGAGCACAACTGCACAACCGGTTTCAAGAAGAGATGATAAAGGTTAGATCAACGTGGCACCTTCTCGGGAACAACTCGTGGAATTCTGCTACTGGTTTGTACTAATAAGAGCACGAGCCTACTAACCTCGGGTAGTATTCTCATCCACTTCCAGGTCAGGGTTGTTCTGATGCGTGAAGTTATCACAGGAGGCTGCAGGGTGTATATCGTACAGTCAAATAATAATTAACTCGGTCACTCAACCCACCAGTGTTTGTGGGACACTGCTGTGCGCTATTGGCTGCCGCCTTTCGCCCATAACATGCACCATCACTCTACTTTACAGTACATCCTCTGAGACGTCTCGAAGACGGGATAAGGCGCTACATCAAATGCAAAGATTATTATAATTTCAGCAGCTGGACACTCAAACATGATCCAAGTTCGCTGAAAGAAAGCGCGAAATTTAATGCTACAAAAAGAAAAGTCTTGTTTTTTTTAAGAAAATCATCTTCTGGAAAAATTATTTTTATTCTGCCTGTGATCTTATCAGCCCAAACTGTTTGAAATAATGCACTAGGGCTTAATAATAATAATCCCTTGCATTTGAGATAGCGCTTTTCACGTCTTCTCGACGTCTCAAAGCGCTTCACAGAATAGACTGTAAAAAATAATAATAATAATAATAATAATCCTTGCATTTGATATAGCGCTTTTCACGTCAGGAGGACGTCCCAAAGCGCTTCACAGAACACACTGTAAAGTGAATTGACTGTATTTTGTGGACGAAACACGGCAGCCAATTGCGCGCAGCAGCGTCCCACAAACAGCCGTGGATTGAGTGACCAAATTATTATTGTTCTGTTTCTTAAAAATAAATTAATTCATTTACTTAAAAGGTTAACTGCAAGAGATTATCATTTGTGTAGGAGAGCAACGTTAATTAAATTACACGGCTTTTCAGCTATCCCGAGGTACAGTTTAAAAGCAATTTAATTATCTCCTGTTTACCCATACTTGCTTTTCCTACTCTTTTGAAATTCAAAGCACAAATATTTCACAATCTAAAAAATGTGCTGATTTGTTTATCTAACATTTGGTGTTCCTTCAAATGCTGTAATTCTAAGTTGCTCACAGCACCGTCGATCGCTAATTACTGCTTAAGTGATCAATGTGCTGTATTTTGCGGCGACATAAGCAAAATGTGCTCTCTTCATTGTTCATTTACAAAGTCGTAGGAGTCCTGTAGCTCAGTGGTTAGAGCACTCGCTTTGCAAGTGAGAGACCTGAGTTCAATTCCAGGCAGAGGGCCAAACCTTGGGCAAGTTTCCTTACTCCACACAGAGCCTAATAATAATCCTCCAAAAAAAAAACAATAATTAAATTGGTCATTTTCAATCTACGACTGTTTGTGGGACATTGCTGTGCGCAATTGGCTGCCGCGTTCGCCCACAAATATACAGTCAATTCACTTTACAGTGTGTTCTGTGAAGCGCTTTGGGACGTCCTCCCGACGTGAAAAGCGCTATATCAAATGCAAGGATTATTATTATTATTATTATTAAAAAATAACGTTTCAATTCCTATTTAAAAGCGAGGACATTCCTCTTCAATTTCTTTCACCTCCCAATGAATTAATAAAGATTGCGAACCACTTTTTTAAAAAAAAAACAAGTTTGTGTAACTTTCTCCTATAGTGAGCTTAGATGATGGTACATAATTGTACAGATTTATAATAATCCTTGCCTTTGATAAAGCACCTTCCATTTCAGGATGTTGAAGCTTTTCACAGGATTTGCTGTAAAGCATTAGTGACTGAATTGTGTAGGTGAATGCATTTCTATCAGTTATTATGAAAAAGATTCTTAAAATAAATCGACAATTCCATAACCTGCTGATTATCCTGGCTCTTAGCAAGGTTATATTTGTGCTAATGTATTACTGGTAAAATTGTACACGACACAGATTATTGTACACAACGCAGATAAGTGATGAAACCAACGAACAAATAACTATTCTGCTCATCCCTTTCCCAAGAGAGTATTTTAAATGTTCCGATCCATTAGGCTTCTAACTGAAGGTTGAATGTTTTAAGGCTAACCTTGAGTAAATGATTTATATAGCTGCTAGGACAAAGTGTGTGCATGTTGTGCATTCAATTCTTCCGTTCAGACATGGGAAATCGCGTACCTTAGCCAGATGTTATGGGGTCAACTCGCTTTCGTGGACTTTTCTTCTGCAACAAACTGAGGGAAATTTGGGGCTCTGTAGCAGGTGCAAAGGGGACACGTAAACTATGAAAAAGCAACGTGCGATCACAACCTATGACGGCCCGTGCTGAAGGTAAGGACTGGGAGGTAGCGATGTGAATCTGAACGACTAATCGCTTCACCGTTAGAGGAAATGCAATGCAGTAACAATCGCAGTTGTAACAGTCAGTTGTGAATGCACTCGCAAGCCATATAGAGTGTTAAATCGAGATCTCCCGTCTGCCTGTTCGAGCGGACGTTAACGTTCCCATGGCACTATTCAAAACGAGGAGGGGTTTTTCTCGCGGTGTCCGGGCCAACAATCCCTCACGTGAAATCGTTCATTCATTTCGTGGCTGTTTGTGGGACTTTGCTGGTGCAAACCTATCACTGTATTTGCCTACAAAGCATATTGTAAATTTGTGGACACTGCAGGAATAGGATGGAGCTGAAAAGCTGTGAGATCTTACAGGTTTCCAATGGAAATTTATAAGCAGCGGTGAGCAAATTATTGATTGTATGAGCTTAATGTTCAAATTAGATTTGTTTAGGGCATATGGAACGCAAGCTCATATTTCCTGCACAGTTCCTGAATCCGAGTTCAGTCAAGCATTAAATGCACGTGGAGTGTTACTGGAGTAAAGAAAATGCAACGGAGCAGAAAGAATATCTATATTGCATGCAGTTACATTTGAGAATTGGGGCTGAAAAAAAAAACAATCGAACAATTTTCTTTGGTTGAATTAAGTGCGCTGAGATTTCTGAGCTAAAGAATGGAAAACTTTTGCCATCTGCGGCAGACACAGCACTCCCTCACCTTTGGGATAGACAAAAAGCCCTCTGTTCTGCTCCGATAATGTGCCTTTGCAAACTGGTGCATCAGTGCATATTTCAAGTTGCAATAGATTTTAATATTGTACTAATAGCTGATAAGTGAAAAAAACGTTAATTGTAGTTATTTTCAGCATCTTTATTGGCCCCATTTGTTTGCTGCCTGCGATTATCCTCTAGTGAACTCATTGGAGAGGGCAAAAGAGTCTGAATGCCACATTTGGCAGCAAATCTGGCCCAGTTGCACTTCAACAGGCTTACATTTGTAAGATAATAATAATCCTTGCATTTGATACAGCGCTTGTCACGTCTTCGAGACGCCTCAAAGCGCTTCACAGAATAGACTGTGAAGTGAACTGACTGTATATTTTGGGTGTCTCAAAGCGCTTCACACACCTGAACTCAGGGGTGAGGGAATGGAGAAGGGGTGACCTAAGGCAATGGTCAAAAAAAGATGCGTCTTAAGGTGGGATTTGAAGGCGAGCGGGGAGGGGGCAAGTCTGAGGGAATTGAAGGGTGGGGCAGGTCGTTAAGCTGGTAGCTGAAGAGCGAGTGGCTGTGGCAGTAGGGTGCCAATTCTTCCCATTTAAAGTATGATTTGTCAGAAAAACATTCTATAATGTTACGTCCTATTTGCAGCACTTTCAATACATTGACTAAGACCTCTAAACCATTTACTAGAAGTACTGACTATTTCAGGACTGTTTACAAAACGGGACCACTGGACAAACAACTGAATTGTTTTTTGTGCCCAATCTTTATTTGAAACATTATCCTTTTTAGATACAAAGCCACGATAAACATAAAAGCCACACAGGAAGAGAGGACGTCGGTAACAGACTGAGTAGAACAAGGTTTTTAATCATGCAATGTAAAAATTGCACAAATGACATTTCATAAGACTACCTTGTTGCACAAATCCTCAGTAGGTTTGAATGCTCTGAAATGACAGGTCATGAGGAATGTTCAATTTGTAAATTACAATATTATTCCAACTAAACAGGAGCACCCAATTAGAACTTAATCTAGTCAAAGTTGGATAGAGAAAATTGTGTGAGCTGCCCCACTCCTTTTAGGCTCTTTAACCAATTTAGTGCTGAACTGTTTTAACACGCTGCCCTCACCACTAACCTATAAACGACAGAAAGACAGCTGTTAAATGAAGATATTATATTCTCTCAAAGGTAAACTGTTAGTTTTACAAAAATTACAACAATGCAATCAAATTCCAGTTTGTCAGGGTTGAGATGAACATCAGTGAACCAAAAAAAACTGTTGATCCTTTCTTTGTGTGCACCAAACCGATTAGCGACTGCAATCAATTGATCTAATAGTTAAGGTACTTTGGAGTGGGCTACAACTTTGATTTGTCTCTTGCTGCAAAAGATAAGCTTTTCAGAAAGAAGTTCATTTGGACCCTGGTCAGTTAAGAGAAAATAAAAGCCTTAGCAAAGCATTGAGGTACTCCAACAACCAAACTTGTCATCTTTAAAGAACGTAGGATACATCCTTGAACTTATTGGAATATGACTGGATGCAAAGCCGCATAACACAATCACCGTTTGTTGTTGAGTACCTGAGTTACCCATCTAGAACAAGCTTTAAAAACTCAATTCCACATTTGCAGTTAACCATAATTTGGCGATGCTGATGTCCATATTGTTACCAATAAAACCATACACTTCTTACACATTTAGAGAGCACTTGCACTAACTAACAGCAATGAATGGTTACTTCTGCCAATTTTGAAGGATGTAAACAATTAGTAACAATAATAAAAAGCATTAAAATAACTTTGGTACTAAAAGGACAATGCAGTACCGTCCTTTTGACTACGGGTTGTTATCTAACATTAAAAGCCAGCTAGTCCTTCCATTCCTTCTTTATATGAAGCTTCCACCCCCAGACCAGGTGATCATGTTGGTCATCGTCTGAGAAGCGGGAGTGGATGTTGTACGTGCCCCTCACCATCATGCCTTTGGGGGCCTCTTCGGTGGGAGTTAGAAACTCATACTCTTCGACTCTGGGTCCGTAGCTGCCAACCATGTATTTGGACGTATCTGTTTGGAACACGAAGGTCGGCGTCAGTTACAGAATTGAGTTTCACACCCGAGAAGGCTAACCGATTCCATTTGCTTACAAATAACACGGGGCAAAGGTATTTTATTCCTCCACCTTGCGCACGACAGAATTGTGTTGCAACAACTTGCATTTACACAGCTGCCCTGTAGTAGCGTCTCGGAATGTGTTAACTAAGTGTGTCAATACACAGTCGCCATTTGTCAGTGGAAGATAGGGCATTTAATGTTAAGGTAAGCATCCGAGCGCCTTGAAATAAATCATCTTTCACGACCACAACAATTAGAGATGCAGAAACATCCAGCTGAACGGTCTAGCAACGATGGTGGAGTCTCGGTTTTGATTTGTTTTGACTCTTTCTCCCTCACACTGTGTTTACCTCAGTGCTGTTTATTAAAGAGCAGTTTGTAAAAATCAAAAAGTGTTCTGTCCCCTCAAGTCTTAGCTCTTCTAGAATTGCAGCAAAAATACCATTTGAACCATGTGTGTGTGTGTATTGCATGTATACATAGTGTTATATTTCAGTGCAGTCCTCACCCTTAAAAAGTTGCCTTGATGTAGTCTGGATATACTTTAAGCCCGAAACGATTTCCTTGTTAACCTGAAAGAGAAAGCAAATGAGCAAATTTAACGGGAGGTTTTTGACACGTGATATCGTGCAGTCATACAAGGCACAGTACTGGGTAACGTACAGATTTGAGCGATGTTTTGAAAATTGGTGAAGGGAAGACAAAGCACTGATCAGCAAGGATGCGTTAGCCTCAGAGCAGCACAAAGTATAGTTACATTATGGATGTGTATTATAATTTGCTGGCGCTGAAGAACATACACATTTATTGTGCCCATTCTGGACTTTCATTCAAAAAGCTGTGGCTGACATTTGATCAGTTAACCTTGAGGGAAGGTGGGTTTCAGCTTCAAATTGATTGAAATCTACATTCTTAAAAAGTTGCCTTTACACCTTCCAAAACATGCAACTCTGCAATCCTCACAAACCGATGAGAGCGAGGAAAGTGTACAGGGAAAATGAAAGGATAAGTGAAGGCAAAAATCAGGGAAAGGTTTCGCCGAGTTGTATTTTAGGTTAGCCAAAAGCAGCAATATGTTGGAACTATCTTTGTAAACATTAGCAATATTACTGCTAACACACTGTCACTTGGGCTTTTCGTGTGCAATAATAAAAATTAACTTGCAGGGGAGCAGAGCGAGCTGCGGCTTCCAGTCTTGAACCTTTGCCCAGAAAATATACAGTCAATTCACTTTACAGTATATTGTGTGAGGGGCTTTGAGACGACTCGAAGACGCGATAAGGTGCTATATCAAAGGCAAGGATTATTATTATTGAACTGGCCGGTTCAAATTCCAGTCTGTGCTGCGTTTGATGGTCTCAGCTGGGTTTACATGGGCGGAGACAAACAGGTCCAACATTCTCAGGGGAAAAAAAAAGCCAGAGAGCATTCCCGTTTCTGTTTCCTCTTCAGCTCCCTCTACGGGTAGCGTGCTTGAAAATAACAGTAGGAATACTCACTTTAAAATGTATTTTAATTTTGTATTCCACGCCTTCCTTCAGCACAAAGGACTTCTTCTTCAGAGCTTCCAAGTCCTCTGGGGGAGAGAGAGAGAGAGAAAAAAAAAAGAAAGACGAGCCACGTTAACAATAATCTCTTGTGGCTACTTTTTCTCTAAATAAATTTTATTTAATCGCCCATAAAACACAGTCAATTCACTTTACAGTGTATCCCGTGAAGCGCTTTGAGACGTCTCGAAGACGTGATAAGGCGCTGTGTCAAATGCAAGGATTATTATTATTATATTCATTCTTGCGTTTGAGAGAGCGTCTCTTCACATCATTGAGACCCCTCAAAGCGCTTCACAGGATATGCTGTAAAGCGGATTGACTGTGTATTTTGGGGGCGAAACGAGTTAAATAAAGTGAATAAGGTATAAACACCAGCGCAACCTAGTTGTGGCCCAATGGCCCGTTTCCAAACCGTAATGTTCTAATATTACGTGCTGGTGTTCATATCCTACACAAGCTTCTGTTCCTCCTTAATCCCCTCACCTGTACCCTTCCATTCCCTTCTCCCTCAGGCACACATCAAGTTTATGTTAAATACGCTGACGCTTTTTGTTTCAACCACAGGTTCTCGTAGCGAGTTTCACAGTCTTTTGTGTTAAGATGTTCCTCCAGACCGGTGGCTATATTAATGCCCACTTGTTAGTCTGGCAAACAGTCACTGGGGGAAGGGATTCTTCCTACGTTCTGCCAAAGCCCCTAATGAGTAGGATGGTCCTAGAAAAATGACGTGTGTGAAAAAAAGTGAATGAAGCAACGCAGATGCCACACTGGGACACTAGAGGTTGATGTTTGCACAGATCGCAAAGGCAAACCGGAAACGAAACTCAAGCACATTGGTACAAGCACCGTAAATTCATGGTACGACTCCGAGCCCGAGCCCAGCAGCTGATAATCTGACCAGAACAAGAGAAATACAGGACAAGGCTGGACCCCAGCCCTCTGCGTTCAGCCCAGGCACCGCATGACAGAGCTGCTGCTCTCAAACAAGACTGCCCGCTGGGTGAACACTGCATGATTACCAGCTGTGTGTGAATCAGTATCAAGTCCATCTAAACCGTTCAGTGTGGACAGGAGCTGTACGCAGCCGTTTAAGAGACGCCTTGAGAGTTCAAGGCCCCATCTTACTCGTCAGACGACGATTTAATTTGTGAACTTAAAAGCAACAGCAACAAATTACACTTGCACAGGGCCTTTCACGTCAGAAGGATGTCCCAAGGCTCTGGACTGGAGAGTCAAGGATTTGCACCCGAGCTGGCGGTTGGGATCAGGAGGGGTGGAGGGCAGCGATCTTAAAATAAAGTGCGGGTTCAATTCCACGTTGCCTTATATTTAAACACAAGTGAAAGCATTTTAGATAACAATATAAAAAAAAACACTTCCTCAATCGAAACTCCTCCACCCACACTAAAACTCCGCATGCCCATCACAGCACAGCCCTCCTTGTCAGGCTCCACTGTCTCCCTGTCTCATAATGGATCGCTTGCACGGTTTTCACCCTCACCCGTAAATCCCTTCACACCTTTAGCACCATCTCTCTCTCTCTCTCTGTGACCTTGACCTATCCCCTTCCCCCCCACACTCTTCTGAATAACGTTTAAAAAGCAACGTTAAATCACGGCAAATTTATCATATTTTTTTCCCCCCCAATCTCAGGGAGGAGGAAAAAAAAAAGGTACAATTAACTGGAGATTTACATTTTCTCCTGATACAGTTTATTACTGCATCCAACCGTTTCCCCCCCCACTCCCAAACCCTATCTATCCAACAAAAGCTATAATGAACTTGTACAGAAATTCACACCAGACAAGGCTGACTCAGAAGATGCAAACTGTGATCTCACCTCCCACCCACACCTCCTGTCAACCGTCTTGCTTCTACATGAAGGAATAAGACGACCAAATACTCAAGACCAGATTGGGAATAAACAATTCAATCACTTGAGCGTTTTTCTCTAAAAAGCTTCCTTATTCCTTACGAGCTTCTAAACACCTGAATAGATTCGAATCAAGCTTTGAAACTTCAATCAAAATCTATTTTTTGGGTTGATGCAGAAGTGAGGATCGATAGGTTTACTGTTTCAGCGCAGAAACCTAAAGACCTTCAGTTCAAAGTGCTCCCCCTAGACTCTGTCTCCCACTTTATTGACAAAAGCACTTACTGCAACTGCTATAGATCTGGGTTTATGCAAGAGGCAGGTTACAAAACTTGTGCAATACTAAGTCAGTCTCCTCGTTAAATGTGCAGCCAGTTCTAAAATAAGCAACATTCAACCTCAACAGTACATTCCGCCACTGGCACTCAGTATGGTCGATAGACAGAAGTGACTTAACCGTGTTCATACTTCACAAGATCCTTTCGGTCCATCCAATCAGAAAACCCACCCTAATGTATCAAGCTGTTCATCTCTGTCACCTTTCCTGGCAAGTTTCAGTTTAAGGGAAGTGTTGGTTTGATGCACAAACTGCAGAGATGTGAAATTTGGGCAAACCTTAAAGCCACGAAAACGCGTAGGGTAATATTTTAAGCGGGGGAAATGTGGGGGAAGCTTACACAAAGTAGGTTGACGTTAGTGGAAATGTTTTTGTTTTAAAAAGAGACAAGTCAGCGTTTTAAAGTACAAAGCAATTTATGCTGTGATGGGATGAGTGACATGGGAGACACCCATTCACCCCAGTGGAGCCCCTCCAATGTGTTCCTGAGCACAACACCACCAAATTATACGTGTATAGCTCCTTTCACATCAGGAGGACGTCCCAAGGCGCTAACGCTCAATAATCAGCATTACGATTGCCATTAAGTCCATCATACCAATGATAGTTATTTAACAATGAATCAGTCGGGAAAAATAAGATCCTGCCCAGCTCCTCTAATAGAAGAGAAAATGCAGATGTCGTCTGCAACTGGCCGACCTTTAAATAATCCTCTGCTCCTTCACAGTGTTTGTTGTGTCACCAGATAGTAAATGAGAAAATAAGCAATTACTGGAATTACGATCATTCACAGGAACTTGCCAGCAACGCAAGGGCATTCCAGAACACACCTCTGGATTTATTGAAGATCCGCCATTTCATTTGACATTTCTAGTCTCGGGCACGGATGAGATCACTTTTTCGTGCACCCTCGAGGGTCCTAATCAATTACACCTCCTGTCAGAAAAGTTCTAAATTGAAAACTGCTTACGGCTCATCTGGTTTTCCTTTGCGGAAATGATCACAGAAATGTCCAGTGACTGACTGAAAGAAGCCAAAATCATATTTCAGGTCCCTTTATGGTCAGATTTTCACCATAATTGCTTTGAACCCATCAATAACACAGTCACCTCCCTCTTCCCCTTGCTCGGGGCCCAACCCTATCCCAGCGAACATCTCCTAAACATTACGCTAGGTGAAGGGAGCTACACAAGTGAAAGTTGCTTTGTTTTGGTGGAAGTTGATTGGCAAATATCTATTTTCCCTGCCAAAACCAACGGATTTTCAGACTTTGTTTGCCCCAGTTTGTGGGAGGCACGTCGTCTCAGTCCTGACAATCGAGTCTAATGTGAAGTGCTTCAGGCGAATGTGATGGCCAATTTATGCACAGCAAGGTCCCGCAAGGAACAAGGTAACTTATACGAAGGGTTAGATTTTGTGTGGGAGATTGTTGCCCAGGAAACTGAGAAGCTCCCTTCTCTTTTCCAACAGTGCGTTGGGATCTTTAAGGTCCAGCTGAGCAGGCAGGCAGGACCCTGGCTTAATATCACATCCATATTATACATTGTATGGCACCTATAACAATGCAATGCACATCCAGCACTGTTTGAGCCTTGACTATGAGCTCAAAATCCCCACGTGAAGCTTTTGAACCCACAACTGACTCTGAGGCAACCAAGTGATCTAGGCTGACATCTGAGAGTAGAGGAGCCATTTCCTGCAGTGAAAAGAAGGCTCTGTGGCACTCTTTGTCAAGGGCAGAAAATATACAAACCAACGGCAAACTTGTTTTTAAACCAACTTTCACCCAATCGGTTCACAAATTTGAATCGAGTATTTTTCGCCTTTCCCTTACCTCACAGAAAATAGAACTCAATATCCCCTGTGTTTTTAATATGGGGCATTAAAAAGATCGTCAACGGTTAGTCAGAATACAGGATGTTAGATGCTGCAATAGGCTAAAATGAGGAAGCCTGAAACAATCCTTCTCATAGTCGGTCAGTTACAGGATGATAAGGCCATTTTAACAAAAAGATCTTTACATTTCATATAACACCCTTCGCATCTCAAAGCGCTTCACAGGATTATTGTAAAGTCCAGAGACCATTTTTGTAGAGTGGGCTGCAGCCAATTTTCACACAGCAATGTCCCACAAAGTGAATGAGAAATTTTTATTTTATTTAGGGGATTGCTGTTCAAGACACCAAGAGGCTATCTTCTCTATTCGAATAGTCCCACCGGATCTTTAACGGCCACCTAAATAGGCAGGCAAGATTAACATCTCACCTGAGGGACGGCACTTCCAACAATGAAGCACACGCCCATCACTGCATTGGAGGGTCAGCCTCGACTAGGAGTTCAAAGTTCCACGTGTAACAAATGGTTTATGAAGAAGCATTAAGCTACACACACTAATAAAAGACCCCGTAACCACTCTTGTTGCACACACACACACACACACACACACACACAAAAATCCACACTTTAAAATTTGCCAACTGAGCCTTTGGAGGACCTTAGGAAACTGAACTAAAAAAAAAAAATCCACATTTGATGTAGGGCTCTTATGTATCAATATTACACTCAGAACAAGACTAGTCAATCACACCATTCTCTGCTACCTACCTAGAAGAGATGACGGGAAATTAAAATAGACTATTTACTATTTTCAAGTAGTTCACAGTTTACATATTTTATATTTTACAGTCAATATCAGCACATCGAGTGGATTACACAGACCAAACAAAAAATAAGCTCAGTTTTGTTTTGATAAGAATATTTAGTTACCGGTCAAGTCCATGGTAATGATCTCAGGTGCTTCCTTGCAGACCAGGGTCAGTCTTACTACTTGAACGTTGGGCACATCAGCATCTAAAAAAATACAAACGCCAGAACATCTTAAAAAAACAAAGCTTTCATTTACAGCAGAATGTAAAAAAAAGAACAGTGCATTGAAGATTCCCTCAGCCCCCACCTGGAGCTCAGTAACAATGAAGAGGTGAGTGTCCCTAACCTGCTGCAGGAATCAGAACCTATTTTCTACATCTACACAATTTCACACGTTCTACATATTCACATGACCTCTCGTTTTTTTTTAAAAAAGGCAAAATATTAAAGTTGAACCATCGAAAAACAATGACAACTTTTTTTTAAAAATTGTATGTAGGTTTTGAACAGTTAAGGCTGTCCGGAGCAGATGCACTGTGTTGGGAGTTGTAAAACTCAAAAGGGAAATGCTTAGCGCTGTCGTTACATTCCTATTACTGAACATTCAACCAAAGCGAGAGAACAAGCGATGACTCATTGCTGCAGACGTAGTCAGTTAACTCACACAGATACTTGATCAAAACTATAAAACCCAGTCGCTGTGAACAGCGTTTCCTGGAGCACTCAGGTCTATAAGTAGAAAAATGTGAGGTGACAAAGGTTGATTTGTTTAACAATTATTGGGTTTTAATGTCAATGAGGCAAAGGAATGGACCCATTTGTTTCACCGCAATGCACAAGTCTCGCACCCTCGCCCTGCACAGCTTTCCAATTGGTTGGATTCCTCTCTGTCTTATCTTTTTAAGGCCAAGGAATCATTATAACTGGATTGCGAACGAGAGCCAATTTACGTCAGGGAGGCAATTGCTTTTTTAAATATCACTGATATGTCAAACTATAATAGATTTTGCAACTTGTTTGTAGATGTTTTTGCCAATGAACACTATCGCACGGAATACAACCTCTCATTTGGAAAATGAACGCAAAATAGGTCGAATTCAATACCGTGCTGCTAAACAACAACGGAGGCAATCTACTGCAGAACAGCTTGCCGTAGCCATGTCTGCACAATATTGGCTCATATTCTATAACTAGCCGGCCAGTTTGATTAAGGATCTTTGAACTTAACTCATTGAACGTTATCGCTCAACTGATAAAACTGGTCACTCACTTCACGGCTGTTTTTGTGGGCCCTGGTGGGTAAATTGCTACTAACTCTGGTCTGGCTGTACTGATTCCAGGACAACCTCTTCCATACACTACCTAGTTTAGTGCTTTTGCAGCTTCTGGCACTGACTAGCATGCAGTTTTTTTAAAAAAAAACAGTGCTCGTGCCATGATCAGGAAGCGTGGCTGACGTCACATTGCAAAGGTGCTTCTTGAGCACAGAACCCACAAGCCGAACCCAGGAAGTGACGTCAACGATGATCTGCCAACTCCACAAGCTTCCTCTGCTTTCACTTCATGTTAACGACAGCAGGTGAGGGGTGTGGGGAAGGTGGAGGATGCTGATTATGGACCCAATAGTTTTGCTCTATATGGGACTGCTCTGTAGTTAGCAACAAGTGACAAAGTCACAATAATTCTATGTCTAACTGAAAACCAGACACCAGACAAAACTGCAGGATAACAGCCACGGGTCAGTGCTGAACTCAGGGACGATTTAGACCTTGTGTCAAACCAGATAAGAGTTTCACATATACCACATCCGAGTCCTGATAATGAGCCAAGTTGGCTGGTCTGCCATCATCAGCAACAACCTGGAGTACTGAGATCATCACGGAGTGTTGACTCAATTCCGATGTTCCTTTACAAAGCCAACTCAGCTCGAAGAAGACCCCACTCAACTTCTCTTCCCCCCCGCCACCCCCCGCCCAACTCACACTACAAAGGATAATCTCGTGTCTGTTAAGCATTTTCAGTAATTCAAAAAGGTGGAAAAATTCCTCTTATGCTCAGGAAGTAATATTAATCCTTGGACTTGATATAGTACCCTATCACGTCTTCGAGACGTCTCAAACCGCTTCACAGAATATACTGTAAAGTGAATTGACGATATATTTTGTGGGCGAAACGCGGCAACCAACTAACTGCACACAGCAAATGTCCCACGAACAGTCGTGGATTGACTGACCAGTACTGGGTTAATCTAACTCCAGTTTACTTAAAAGTTGGAGCAGTGAGATAAAAGTGAATCTTATAGAAGGAAGCTAGGAAATGAGGGGTAATTAGAATCTCCAAATGGCTTTACTCAGAGAAGGATTCTATGTCGAGTCATTAAAGCTCAAATTATATTATTACATCCTGAGAATCCATAGCAATAACGTCCTAAATATGAATTAATGCTTTCTTCCTGTTAATCACTGCAACTGGGGACAAAGGCATATACACAGCAACGCAACAAAGCTAGCCCCAACAGCAGATTTGCCTCTCTCGCCATTTGACCACCAATTTAAGAGTTGCATTAACGTATTGCTTGAACTGTAAGGCCATTAATTGTGTTTGACTGCTATTAAACTTGAACACATTTCTCCAAGTCTGCTCTTTCCTCACTCCAAACACTGAAATCTGGGGCAGTAAATCATGCATCATGATGCAAGGGAGTGAGTGGGGGAAGAGAAGAGTTATTCCACCTGGGTCTAGATTTACTCTATGCAAATTCTGCATGCTCTAAAACACTACGTTAGTAGAGCAAATCTAGATCCAGCTTGAATTTCTCCCCATAAATACTCTACAATAATACACCAGGATGTATACAGATTTGAGTTTATATAAATGCATTTCCACATCATTCCTTCCCATGAACTCAAAACCATAGGAGTTCTCGTCTCCAATCTTTTTGCTCTTTCCCATGCTCTAAAAGTTTTGCCTCACCAACCACTTCCTCTCGACCCTGCCTAGACCTCAGGACTCTTTGCAGTCTTAAGCTTGCTCCACTATGACTTTGACTCTTCGCACAGGTTTCTTCCTCAAATAAAATCTCCTCAACAAACTGAGTGCGCAAATTCCCAGCGTAAGTGACTTGATGTTAAAGTCCCAACTGCCGTTAAGAGGGTGCTTAAGCTGCTTCTGACCCTTAACTTCCCCTCCGTCCCTCGAGAAATCCCATCTCTGTTATCTTACAAGACAAATTCCTGGACATCAAGACTTCAAGTATAAAATGAGGGCTCGCCATACAGATATACTAGATGCGAGGATTCCAGATATAACCTACAATTACGCAGTCACTACGTAATACAGTTAATTTTGTGATGCAATTGGAGATGTCCTCGCACTTGCAAAAGGTGCTATATCAAATGTAAGGATCATTATTAATTGGTACTGATACCCACTGAACATTTGCTTTCACGGTTTGGGTCAAATGTAATTCCCCACCTCATTCCCTTAGCGCTACAGCCTTAGGGCTAAGTATCTGTCATTTTATTATAGATTGCTGGCAATTTTCCTGTAAAAAGCAGTGTATTTGCTGTTACACGGCGATCCAAACACTTAGCATCACTTTACTCAGTCCAGTCAGTGAGAAGTGCACTGAAGCAGGTTGCCTGCTTGCTTACACAGCCAACAGTTTCACGAGGACACCGAGGTAATAGCCCGGATGACAATGACATGCCAATGAATACATTATCTAGATCTGGACAACCTTAACCCATAAATTATTCTCGCTCCTGATGAATTCTTTACCCAGCAGATTTTCTTTCCGCAGCACATGGTCATTTCTAACACAGGAAGGTTCTTCTAATTCCACCGTATGCAATAGTTGCAGACCACAGGGTGGTAATGGTTTGAAACTTGACTTACACATCCTACGCTATTTCTGGGCCTTGCATGATTGGGAATAATTCATGAACCATCTGAATTTGCTCAAATAAACGTTTGATGCTGCATTAATCTTACAATAAGGCTGGGTTGGGGGGGGGGCGACGGGTTAGTCATAAAAATCCCAATCTGCTTTATAACCAGGACACGATTTCCAGTCAGCCCAACCACATATACCGTGGCTGTGTGCAAAATGCTGGCTGGCTGGTTCTTGGGCATGTACTCCATCCGCAGCGAATGCAAAAGCTCCGACCAGCAATCGCCAACATGCAGGAAATGATACCTGCAGCAAAGCGACGATCCAGGAAGTCAGGTTGCACACGTGCAGGAAGTGAGCTCGATATGAAGCCAGCCCCGGTTCCACAGGCCTTATCAATGACTTATAAAGTGTTATAAAGCACACCTTATAAAACAGGTCCCCCCCCACTGCACAGGAACATTTTACAGCAAGCACACACATATTCAGACAAAGCTCACGGGACTTTACCAGTGAAGTTCTATCACTGATGTCTTGTTAATTTTGTCAAATGCAGTTAAGACACGGTTTCTTTTTTGCCTGGAGCAGGTTTCCATTTGCTACCTGCTTTCCGCGAGCTACAATTTCAACACAAAACGATTGCAGATTTGAAGCGAGATCTCTTCACTACCTGCGGAAAGTCTAATGTTCAAATTCATTCTTACACAAGCCTCTCTTTTTGCCGGCTATGGTATTAAAATCTGCTTCTCCTCCCCCAATAACTCAGTTCTTCTGACGTCCAAATAATTTCTGACCGATCTGGGGTAAACTACAAGCATTATTTACCAGACCGAAGAGGAGAGTGAAAAGGTATATGATTATATGCTCCGTAAAACTGGAGATGGTTTTAGGGATTTCATGACTTTAATGAGCGAGAGGAAGCAGGGCAATTTCTGGGTTTGCTATTTATTTCTGGGTTTGTACATATACAAGTCCCAAACCAAACAGAGCAATTACGTCATTATCTTCACCACTGGTACCTGCTCCGCAGGAAATGGTTGTACGTTTAAGTCACGGCAAATAGCATGTATTAAATTCCTTAAAATTGCTGCCCTGCTCTTGTGTGTGTGTGTCAAGGAAGAGCAGCTCTCGCAGAACAGCGTGACCACACATTTTAACACATAAATTCCAGGCACGTGTGGACTTGCTGGTATTGTGCATCTGCAGCACCTACAATGGCTACACTCATTGCAAGCCTCAGTTTGTTTGAACTTCCAATCCACTAATGCTAACCACACACTCACGAAGCACGGGAAACACAGAAAACGCAGGAAAACAAAAAGGGCCGCAAGCCTTTCAGAGCAAATTGAAACTGTAGGCAGGCAGTAACCAAAGACGAGGAAAGGTCACGGAGCAAGAGATCAGGAAAAACAACAACCGAAGGATCAGACATTTACAGATCGTGGCTCATATCAAGTGCAGCAAACTTTATTGGGCAAGAACAGCGTATGGGCATTACAAACCCGTAATACCTATGACGTTAACTGATCTTTTTGTTGTTCCCATTTTACCCCAAGAAAAACTCTGATTAGGTTGAACGCTCAAAGAGACTCAACCGCACATCTCTAGCACTTTCTTGTGCTGCAGTCAAGATTTCATTGCACATTTCGGAAAGTGAAGGGAATCCTGATCAACAATTTCCCCAGGTAAAAATGAGTCACTCGTGGCTGTGTGCGGGACATTGTTGTGCACAGATTAGCTGCCTTGTTCACCTACAAAATACGCAGCCGCTACCCTTGAATCTCAATCGGATTTTTTTGGGACGGTAAATCCTATTAAGATTCAAAGTCAGGAGCATTTTGTGGGCTGAAAACAGGGAATGCCATCACAACCAGGATGACCACGATACGTAAACATTCCCGAAATATTTACTGAATTAAATACTAACCCGTTGTTGGTAGAGCGCCAAGCAGAGCCTGTTTGTATTTTTTCAAACTCTCATCATCATCGTCCATCTCCAGAATCTCACTGATCGACTTCTTGGCTGGGGCAACATAGTTGGAATCATGTTCTACCTCTTCTGGACCAGGCGTCTCTAATTCCTTGTCAGCCATGATATCTGCGGTAAGCAAAGAGTCACAGAGAGGTAAATGTCATGTTTAGTCATGGTTTGCACACTAACCAAATGATCTAGCGGCAGAACAATACCATTTTAGTCATTTTCAGGTTTTATTTGCGTGCAATACAAGACAAAAGTCCATCAACGCAAAAAAGTCAAGGTTGGTTTAGCTCCTCGTGTCTGCAACACATCATAATGTCGAGTTACAAGGCAAACGGCTAGCTTAGTAAAACAGAATGCTATAGTGGCAATGAGGACACATCTGCTAGTCCAGGTGGACTTAAGACTCCACGGCTTTATCTGATAAGAGAAGGGACTTTCTCCCAGTGTTTTGTCCGACAATTCTCCAGGCAAATTTGTCATTCTCTTCAATTCAATGCTGGTGGGAAATTGCTGTGTGCAAATTGGCTGCCACTTTTGCTTACAAACATCACCATCACCGCAATTTACAGTTAATAATGTTGCTACAGTGAAACACTTTGAAACATCAACCACGCGATATCAAATACTGTACAAAGATTATTATAATGCGACGATAGGTGACTGTACTGGGTATTTTTTCTTATTAAAACTTGCATTGTAAATTTACGAAACTTGATATTTTGTTTCTTAAATTCACAAGATTTGGGTTTTCTTTTATTCAAAAACCTTTTAGTATCGCGAGCAAGACTTTTATCTTTCGGGGTCATTAACAGTACGATTGGCGCTTAGTAATGTAATGACAGTGTGCATTAATGGTCTCTTAGTGTAGGAGAACACAAAGCTTTTTTTTCCCCCCAGCTGAGAAAATACATACATCTTGTGCGTCTGGAACAACAACAGAGTTGCACAGGGCAAATCTAATGAGCTTGCATCAGTAGCAGCCAGGAGCTCAATGCAAGGCAAAATGCATCACCACTTACAATTACTTATTATTAATCCCTTACAATTTTCTCTGAAAGGGGATTTTAAAATAAAACTGCCCTGCTGTACTAGGAGCTCAAGAAAAATAGTTACACGGAGCTGTTCGGTTGTATTCTGCTCAAAATTACAAGAGCATTGAACTTTTGCTGCTCCCTTGACAGGCCCACATTTGGGTCCAGTGGCTGCAGGGCAAACAATTCTACTGATGCACATCAGAGGCTCAGGCGTCTTCTGACGGAAATACAGAGAGAAGGGAAGAAGGAACTACAGAGGCGATATTACCACTACTGTTGGCAGATGGTCAATTCAGCCAACACGTAGGTTACACTACGGGCCATTCAGCTAAACACAAAATAGGTATCTGCACAGCTCTCAATCTATGGAGCAACTAGGAAAAACATCCACGTTCTTTTAAATTCTTCCAGGAAAAAGTGTTTTTTTTTTGGGGGGGTGGGTGAGGGGAGGGCGGAGGGGGGGGGGGAGAATGAAACCAAACACAATCAGACTTGGAGGTTCTTTAAAATCTGTAGATCCAGACAAATTTCATTAGGAAATATAAAGGCATCAAAAGCAACGGGGGCCCTTTTTTGTATTCAGGATGAGGAAGAAAGAGAATCCGATTTACTTTCAAGCATCACACTGCTGAATCCTGATAAACGGCATAACTTATGAACCCCCCCACTCCCCCCCAAAAAACTGCTGTGCGATTCAATTAAAATTTCTGTAAAATTGCTGATAAAAGCCAACCATGCTGCAAATGTCTGTAGCGCACGTCATTTACTCACTCAACAATTCAATCTGAAACAATGGACGAGTTCTAAAGACCCTGATTCAATTTTACATAATAATCACTTGACAGCCAGAAAACTCCCCCCTTGATCCTTAGTCTGTGCCGAGTTACCTTGTGACCACGCCAGGCCAGTGAACTAGGAAGGGGAATGATGTTTAAAAGGCCAAGGTTCCCGCTCCTGATAGCTATTCAATAACTCCGCTCTACGATTATAGTTCCTATTAAATAACAGTTATTATTGCCGTGCAAAACTGGCAAGGCATCAGATGCCAGCACCCAGGAACCATATTCAAGTGCATGTCGTGCTTTGCCTTCAAGAGAAGAGGTGCAAAAGGGAGAAAACCGGAGAAACTTGACTGATAAAATCTGCTGTTGCCTGTGCGTGGGCACTGGGTAGCTTTGAGCTTTTCCTATCTGGAAACAAAGAAGGTTTTAAAAATTCCAATTCTCTGTCTGTCTCTCTTATACAGGGGGAGAACCCAGAGGCTGTATGGGGACGTGTGTCAGGTACAATAAAGGAAATACGCCAACAAATCTGGCAACTACTTTCTGCCTCTGGATGTAAATGTGAAGGGACAGGAGTGGCACGACTATACATAGTGCACAGGAAGTTGTGTGAGCGGTACGTCTTACTCTTAGTGCGCAGGAAGTGACGTTAGCGGTGCTTTTGCGATCTGAGAGCAGGAAGTAACGTTAAGCGCACTTCCCACACATAGCACTAAAGTGTGGGGCACAGCAAGCGACACTGATGAACCCAAGTTGTCGTGTAGTTTACATCAATGCGTTGGGACAACCCAACACAAGAGGAAGGAAGCATCTCTTGCACGTAGTAAGCTGGACTACAAGAGCTCTTTGGCTGCATACCCTACTAGAGCTATTCGATTTTAAGTCTTGACGTGTCTTGAACAGTGCATAGCAGGACAAACAACAGGAGACTAACCAACCACCGTAATGCAATACAACCAAGACACCAGGTCAATACTTTCGCGTCCTCCACCCACCCCGCCACGTAACATTTGTGCAACTTCAGATCCCGAGTTAAGGTATTCGAATGAGTAAGTAATCTGCAGGCACAGCTTCTACTTACTCAATGTAAAAAGTTAGAAAAAAAACTTGGCCATCAATTTTGATGAAAATGCGACGATATTTCCAACAGGAGGTCGAACTGTTTATAGTGGGTAAACATGAATTAAATGTGCAAGGCTGGGCACACAGATAGCTGCCCGCCTTCGAAAGGAAGCCAACAGAATGACAAAGGAAATAGTTGCCAAGTTTGACATAAATTCAAATAGAAGTTCAGGTTAAGAGACCGATTTTTCCAAATTGTTCATAGTATTCAAGCTTCAAGTAGCACAGTTTCTGACAAGACGGTAAAATTTGCTGAATGTATTGAAATGGCAGCTTATTTTACGAGCAGCTGGGCTCTCTTCTGCTGCCCTTTGACAAACTTGTAGAGCACTGCAAGTATACATGTGCAAAGTAAGGTAAGGGTGGGGGGAGAAAGCGTTAACATTGGAACTCTCCTTCAAACATACAAAACACTTTACATGTGTAGAGCACCTTTCAAGACAGGAGGACATTTCAAAGTTCTCAGCACCACCGCTGGATGGGCAAGCAAGCTGGGAGGAGGGGCAAAGATGACCAAAATAGTGGTTAAAATGGTGCGGCATCTTGAGACAGGCCTTATTCGAGGGGAGGGATGGGATGATACCTGTAGTGTGTTGAGCAATAGTTTACACTGCCATCAACAACCAGCTTTCAACTGCACTACACCTGGCGACACATCAATTGCTCACGCGCACAGTGCACGGGATGAGTCAAGATGGAGCAGGAGGAAGAGCGGAAATGGAAACAGGATTTCTGCTCCATCAATTCTAATATTGCTAAACTAGAACATTGGTCCTTATGTCAAAGAAGTTCCTTCCCACTTGACTTTGAGCAACCTTTTCCACCGAAGCTAGGACAACTGACCCATCCTCAAATTGTTGGATCCCAATGCCTTAGAATAGAATCCTAGAATCTTACAGCATAGAAGGAGGCCATTCGGTCAACAGTGCCTCTGCCAGCTTTCATGCGGGGGGGAGGGGATGGGGAAAATGTGGTGGTGCCCAGGAAGTCTCGCTGTACCACTTCCTGTGATAGTCAGAAGCATCAACATGACAAGATTTTTTTGTAAAAAAAAAGTTACCAACTCGCAATATGTTTTCTAGATCGAAAAGAAAATTGTTTTTCTTTGCAATAATACAGAACAGGAGATCCTTTCCATTGCAGGCGCAGAGCTACCACAACACAACTATATACCACAATAGGATTAATCATGTCCCAGGGATTTCAAAATATCCAGATGACAGGATTGCAACTTACAACAGGAAGCTTCCCTTAGCAAGGCTATCTTGTGTAATTCTCCGTTAGCACAGAACCAATTTAGTCTCAAAGGGCCCCCACATTAAAGTGAAGGCGGGTTTTTGAACCAAGCCCCAAAGAGAGATGAGGGTTCAATTTGGTGCATTATTTTCATAACTGGGTACAAAATCCAGCCAACGCCAAGGGAGACACGCGCAGAACTGGGGATGGGTCCAAGCAAGAAAGAACAATTATGAAGGCAAGGATCACCGAGCTGCTCTGGTGATGGTCCCGTTTGCCGCCAATGCAAGCCAGACAGGTGCTTTTAAACAGTCCGTACATTGCAGCGTCAAACGATTTTTTTTTTCACTGAGTTAAAAATTACACACGCACACACAAAAAAAAGTTATTTCTCATTGGTACTATACGCATGGGTGTGGTTTAGAGATTCTAATTTACAGTTCCATGCACAGCGCATTACATCATCAGGTAGCCACAGGCACTTGCTTGTACTTCAGCATCAAGAGCTAATTCAATCGACTCCTTTAACTCCCATCCAGGCTGTGTGTGTGTGTGCGTGGGGGGGGGGGGGGGGGGGCGTGGGGAGACACAAAAAACAGGATAAATGTAAAACCGAAAAATATATATCGACACAGGTCCCGATTCTGCTAATTCAGCGCTGTAAACGCAGGCTTGATTTTACAAGGATTCCACGGTGCTCCTTTTCAAATGAACAAAGGATGGGCTTTGAGCATAGAACGGCAATGCAAGAAACATATATCTTTCTGCTCACCTTTGTAACATGCTGAAAGCCACATAAGTTCCAGGAGCTGACTGCCAAACTCACACACATCCAAGCCCAGCATGGTTTTCTCTCTCTCTCTCTCTCTCTCTCTCTCGCCTCTCTCCCCAAAGCAGTGTGGATGCTGACTCACTCAAAAATGAGCACACAAAAAAATACCCCAGCCGCAACCAAAGAATGAAATAAATATCCTTTACAGCGCACCATCAAGTATGAAGAGAGAGGGGGGGGGTAGGATTGGAGGGTGGTGGGGGAGAAACACATTAAAAAAAAAGAGTAATCCAAGGAGCAGGAATTGTGCACCGAGACTGCGATGAAACTGCGAGGAAACTGTAATGCAAAAATCTTATTCGTGTGCAGACGCTATTGATTTGCCAGCTGCTCTAATGCTATGCTGCCCTCAACTCCCATCAGTCATTATCTCGCAGATGTCTGTGATCTCATCTCCCTCCCACCACATGCAGCACACACTTGAATACAAACGCAGTGCTTCCCCCCACCCCCCCGATGCAGAGGGAAGACGTAATCCTCCCAGTTCGGCTGCCCGGTATTTGTAATCCCAAGCCGTGCACAATGCCACTGTGCTACCTGGGAAAATGACACGTCTTTCGACAACACTGGGCAAAGCACCGTACTCCCCCGGTACTGTAAAGCAGCAGTATAATACAATGATGCAGAGATGGAGAGGAAGGAGAGAGAGAGAGAGAGAGAAAATACATCACATGCATCTTTAACGTTCCCCCTTCCACACACGCACCCCCCCCCTCCCCCCCTTAAGGAAGCAGAAACATCTCAAATGGGAATTTAACAAAAAGACACGATCAAATAATCTGACTGGAGTTTAATTGCTATTTATGACTTAAGAGTTAATTAGCTTGAATATAATAGAGGGTCAGGCTTTTATTTTAGTCTGTCTCGCTACATACAATTCACCGGTTCTCAGAAGCGCGCATGACTGGGGGGGAAAAAAATAGTTTGCTGGTCATTTGCTTCATGGCTGTTTGCTGGACATTGCTGTGGGCGGGGGTCGGCGATGTTTGTCGGTGTATCCTGTGAAGCGCATTTAGACGTCCTCCCGACTTGGAGGGTGCTATAACAAATGCAAGGAGGGTTCATTGCTTATTAAACGGTGAGCCCCCAAGTTACCACTTAAAACGGAATAAACAGAATGCCCTTTAAATGCAACGCATTTACCACAAGGCAAGGAAGTTCTGCATTATGTATAAGCTTAAGGAGACGAGAAAGGTGCAATCATTCTAAATTAACTTTTCGCCACCTTTAGTCATGACATTATGTGCAATCAATGGAAGCTCACCTAATTGCACATACACCATCACCGGGTTTCCTTACGTGTCAATGAAACAGTTAAGCACAGGAGCCACAACTAGAAGGTTACCGATGGATCTTTTCCGTCCGTCAGTCAAGCCAATATTCCCCTGGTTTTCTTTTATTCGTAAAAATCAGAGCTTTACTGAGCTACTGTCAGGAAGCATTTGAGACAGGCCTTCCAAGTCAGAAGGGGGGGCTCAGGCTATTTTCACTACTCTGTGTCAGTGGCTGCCCAGAGCCTTGGGAGAAGTCGTGCTCAGCTGAAGAGAGGTTGGGAGGGAAGATTTCACTTCCTCACCTTCCACTATCGCGCTCAACTCGAGGATTTTCGAACCTCTTATGCTTATCCAACTCTGTATTAAATGAACCACGCGTAGACATTTTAAAACATTTCCCCCAATGCAATTTCGCGCCCGTGATGTGGTGATGCCACTCTTCACATGTGATCACGCGCTCAGAACGGGTTAGAAAGGTTCTCAAGCAACAACAACAACAAGATTCCATTTATAGAGCGCCTTTCACGTCGGGAGGACGTCCCAAGGCGCTGTACAGTTGGGTCAGGACCCGAGCATTGGGGGGAAATGGTCAGAGGGAAGGGAGGGAGCGAGGAGGGGGTAGAGAGTCGAGAGGGGAGCTGAAGGCACGGTCAAAGAGAAAGGTCTTGAGACCGGCTTTGAAGGAGGAAAGGGAGGAGGCGGCGAAGGCACTGGGGGATGGAGTTCCAGAGCCTCGGGGCTGAGAGGCTGAAGGCCCGGCCACCGATGGTAGGGCGGTTGGGGCGGGGGACGTGGAGCAGACCGGAGCCAGAGGAACGGAGGGTACAGGCAGGTAAGTAGGGGGATAGTAGGTCAGAGAGATAGGAGGGAGCGAGGCCGTGAATGGCCTTGTAGGTGAGGATGAGAATCTTGAATTCGATCCTCTGGGGGATGGGGAGCCAGTGGAGGCGAGCGAGGGTGGGAGTGATGTGGTCGCGAAGCCTGGTGCGGGACAGTACACGAGCTGCAGCTAGAATTGAGGCTTGCAACCAAGTCAGGTAACAAACCAGTTTCGGGAGGATGCATTAGAGCAGGGATGTGTCATGTGGCCTCCAGACATGTGCACGTTGGCCATCCCTGCATTGGAAAATGGGTGGCCTCGGGGGAGGCAAAATAGAGTTTCTCAAGTCCTGGTGCAGGGAGGAGACGTCAGAGTAAACGCAACGGAGATGGAAAACCAGAGAAATGAGAAGCCTTTGCAGGTAGAGAAGAGCAAAAAAAAGAAAACACCTTCGTTCTTCTAGCAACAAGATTCAACACTCCGTTACTAGACCATCGTTGGTCTCCTTTTTCGAAAATCTTTCACCGTTTCAGGTTTGATGTAATGGATTTCCAATATTCGCAGGGTTTAATTCTATGTTCTCATCGAAATGGAGCCCTGAGGAAGTAGGGCATCTTCTGGTGTGCACAAGAGAGTCCAGGCATCCAGCTTTACATTATTATACATTTATTAAAGATTTCATATTTGCGGTTTGGGTCGTGCATTCAAACAATAACCTTTCTGTCAACTCAATGCAACGTATTACAGCATGTAAAATGGTTGCACTGTATTCAACTACAACACTGCTGTTGTCTGGAGAAATAGTTGTGTGTCCGTCCACTAACTGACCTAGATTATCCGTAAAATCCAGGGTAGTACCAATAAAAACAAAATTAAAAATGCACAAAATCCAAAAAGGTTCGTTTAGTGGCTTTTTTTTAATGTTTCGAATTCTGCAATGAGCTTTTATGTATTATATTCGGTGAATGAGTCAACAGATAGAAGGATCATGGTCAACCACAATCCTAGCTTTGAAGCAGGTGACTGCTGTGACCATTTGGTCTGTTGGCGCTGTTAAAATGTTCTTAATTCCTAGCCGCAGAGACTTGGGCAATCTACAGGTGCTGACACCTTTTGCCGTGAATCATAAAAAAGAATACCTGGGCTGACAAGTGACTCGATGACAAGCTCCGTTAGGATAACCTGAAGTGCCTGCCCTCCACTCAATAAATTCCCACAGAGGCCCAATTGACTCACAGGCAACAGGTTTGAACATTCACGAGAGAATCTCCTGAGCACAACACACACACACACACACACACATACACACGATCACATACTCCACAGCACGCTGTGGTTCCTACGTTACAGGGATCACGCAACTGTGCTCTGTGAAATGCAACTGGACAGGGCTGAAGAAACGGTAAATCACCATATTATTCAGGAATTCCACTCTATTATTGGTGGTCATGAACCCAATGAAGTGAGTTTCCAGTAGTCGCAGGTTTTCATCACGGTCATCGACTTAAATATATTTGGTGGATTCTGCCACAGAGAAGCTTGTACATGGAAGGAGAGACAATGAACCCTCTGCTCATTCCATTCTCATGTTCACAGTTTGACCAGTTTATCCTTTTTAATTCAGAACAGTGTCGTACGCACAGAGAGCACCAACACAGTAATGCTTCATTGCTGCATTTTCCGTTCCCAGATAAAGCCCTCCGTTTTTGCATCGACTGAACAAAAGAAAAAACACAAAAAATGCAAAGACTAGAATTGATAGGTCCTCTTCTGATGATGGGCACTGTGCACCTATTCACTCCACATGTCTTATTAGTGCCCCTCCCCATCCCAAAACATCACCAACTTCCGTTGTCGTGCAAATGCTGTAATTCTATCATAGCTTTTACTCCATAGACCACATTATTTGTGCCCAAAGTAGAGTTTGATGACCTATCTTGTCCTTTACTGTATAGATCTTGATACCATAAAAGGAAAGCTGAACGAGAGGCATTCGAATGCTTAAAAAAAACCTCTATCCAACACTGAGAATTGGCTGAAATAATGACCTAACAGTGAAGTTTTCTTGTTCCTCATGAAACAGGAACTGTTTCTGCAGAGACAAAACTGCAGCAAGTAGAGAAATGTTTGAGGAGGAAGTGTGGCAAACCACAGCAAAGAAAGAAAGGCATTTGGCAACTAAATCAGCAATTCAGTCTATGAAGCCGTGCTCATTTTTAGACCCAGTACAGGTTCAGTGTTCAGTTGGTGAAAATTGGCATTTTAGCAATCAATTATGGAATCGAACAACATTTTTGCCCATTTTACCACAAGGAAGAAGGAGTAAGTTAAGGCCAGATGTGCAAATGGAAACATCTTCACGAAGTTTCAATATTACTTCTACATTTCTAAACTAGTTCCTGTGATTACAAGTCAACTTTCTTATGAAAGACCCAACAAATCAACATTATACGGTACAAAGCACCAAAACAGTAACAGAGCATGATTATATTTTATTTCAATCTCCTCATTCCTACACAAAACCATCCTTTATAATAATAATAATAATCCTTGCATTTGATATAGCGCTTTTCACGTCGGGAGGACGTCCCAAAGCGCTTCACAGAACACACTGTAAAGTGAATTGACTGTATATTTGTGGGCGAACGCGGCAGCCAATTGCGCACAGCAATGTCCCACAAACAGTCGTAGATTGAAAATGACCAATTTATTATTGTTTTTGGTTTTGGAGGGTTATTATTAGGCTCTGTGTGGAGTAAGGAAACTTGCCCGAGGTTTCGCCCTCTGCCTGGAATTGAACTCAGGTCTCTCACTTGCAAAGCGAGTGCTCTAACCACTGAGCTACAGGACTCCACATATTATACAATATAATTTACATTTATGTAACACCTTTCACATCGGGAGGAAGTCCCAAAGCACAAGACCACTACTGGCTGGGCACAATTATATACATTTATGTCGACAATTTAAGAGATTGAGAAAATTAATCCAATTCAAAAAGTGTGTAACTACTCAAATTGACATTCGTATCTTATCTTAACT